TGGTAGTGATGGGTTTTTACAGTACATGCCCGGCAGCTTTATCCGTACGTTACATTATCACTATCTCTATCTGCTGCATCAGCAGACAAGATCAAGCTACAGTGTGTCCGCTGTACATGAAACATATTTTTGCTGTCTTTGTGTGTTTTAGGTGTTAGCTACCTGATAGTGAGTTGACAGCAAAGCCTGTTCTATTTACATAGCCCAAAAACACATGTCACAGTTTTGCAGTGGTGCATGTAACTAATTACATTCACTTACGTCCTGCACTTAAGTACATTTTGCTGACAACACGTGTGTACTTTCACTTGAATACAGGACTTGTACTTGTAATGGGGTATATTTCTATGTTATTTCTACTTTGAAAGGATCTGAGTACTTTTTCCACCATTGCAAATTTGCCGCAAAGGGCTTTAGAATCTGCACAGGATATGACAACTTCTGTTCTTCGACCCTTGGTTCAGAATTTTAATATAAAACTTTTAACAGGAAAAAAGGAAGAAAAGGGATGAAAACCAAAAGAAGAGGAGTCTCTCTTCCAGGACTGAGAGACATACATGTCATGTGTACAGAACACAAAAATAACAAAATGAAACCACAGACAGTGGCGCCCCCAGAAATTTTTCATAGGGGTGGCCAGACGGGGCCACTGAAAATCTTGGGGTTGCACACTAAAACCAAAAGCCATGACTGAATTTCAGGGATTCTGTTATGCTGTTGAGGTACATAGGCCAGCTGAAAACTATGTCTGTATATGACAGTTGAAGAATCACATACTGATATACTTGGTTTCTTATCTTGCAGTCAATATTACTAAATTTCTGATGTGCATAGACTAATAAGATAACATTTTGAGCTCAATAACAATGTGCTAACTTATTTTTCTTTAAATAGGCTGGTTGTCCTTTTCCTTAAAAAGACAAATGTGTGCCTTTGATTTAAAGGAGCACATTGATTGTAAGCTACAAAATATTTACTGGCAACAAGCCTACTAAAGTTTAAAAACACAAAAAGAAGGCACAAATTATTTTTTGATTATTTTCACGGAGGAGAGGGGGGCAGTTTGGGGGCCAGTAATTACATTAGGTTGACTGTGGTCCCCGCTGGTCACCCCTTGGTGGCACCAGTGACTATAGAGAAACAAACTGACCACATCAGGGTCGATAAATAACTTTGTCTCACTGTGCACAACAGAAAGCAGTATGCTGTCAAATTACTGGTTACAGTTGCACTTCCTCTATACAAAGATATACTGCTGAGATAATACTGAGAGCGGAATCGTGAAAAGTGGGTATGTAAACAAGCCAGTTCAAATCAAGAAACTGACTGGTGAAAGTGAAAGCTCTCATGGAGTCAGTGTCGAGTTTATATTGCTGAAAATGCATGGACCCTGGCAGATATTTGCACATTTGAAATCTTAAGTATTGTTTTAGTGCTGCTCTGTCACCGCGTGTCTATTTGAAGTATGACCTGCCCAGTGACTGCAGATGACAGTTGGCTTTAAACTCTGGTACAAAAACATCAAATGATAAAATGTACCTCTAATGTTCTACAAGGACTCTTACTAATAAAATAAAATGATAATAAAATGTTATATAAAGATGTTCTTTCAACAGCACAAACTTGTCAAGATGAATGTATATAAATACTGCAGCTTCAAAATTAAACAAACACAACTGCATGTGGTACAAAAGTTGAGCCATATAAATACTGACAGAAAACAGAGACTGCTGATTACAGTTTATACCGTATATCTTGAATTAATGAGTATAAAGCTATTCAAAAGCTGTGGTTCGGAAAGAGATTACGATGGGCAGTATGTGAATCTCTGTCTGCTCCTTCACAGTTTTAACCATAAGCATGCTCACACCAATGAGAGGGAAATTCTCAGCGAAGCAAACATTTTCTTCTGCAGGAAGATCAGTGACATTTGCTCCACAACAACAGTGAAGCAGGCAGGAGGTCGCCACATGTAAAACACAAGTAAATCTCACCTGCCCCCTACTGGTCACACACATCTAATACACAATGATAAAAGAGAAAAACTGTCTTTGGTGGATCATTAACACAAATATAGGGTCTTTTTCTAAATTTATAAGCAGATGTGACAGTTCATGTGGTCTGTAGATGCACACACACGCAGTTTGTCTTTGGAAATATTATAGAATTCAAAGGGCAACACCACCAAATCAAGAGTTCCAGTATGTTATTTCCATGGTCTAGGAAGGTTCAATCAATATTTGTGATTGTGAACACGAGCTAGTCTCTCCCTCAGAGCCAGAAAACAGAGAAGTAAGTCTCGTCTGTGATGTCATCAAGTATAAAGTCTGGAGCTGCTCTGTAGACAATGAATGGGAAACTGATTTTGTGTACCCACACAATGTTTTTCTTTTTTATACCCAAATGAGTTTTAATCTATTGAAATGTTCTCAGCTCTGAAACAGAAAATGCACCCATATACTCAGAACAGTCCCCTGGGTGCTCTTGGTGTCATCTATAACATATTACCTAATACATTGTCTTTGAGCAGCCCCAGACTTTATATTTGATGCAACCTATCCTCATTCAAAGGTTCATATGATATTTTGCAAACTAGCGCTCCACGAATTGAATTGTAACGTTACTTTAACATAAAGTTACTTAGGTTACAGGAGCATAAATAAAGACAGTGCATGCAGGGCAGTTGCACTGGAGCCCATGGGATGGAGGGGCCCATACAGAGAGCAGGCAGTCTAACAATATGTCTGGCAGAGAACATGCCTTTGGAAGTGAAACAGACTGTCAGATATCTATTTGATCATGTGATGAGACAACACGATATATGGTAGCTAGTTCGGATGCAAAATCTGAGCTGAGCACATCTGCAAGCTGAGCGAGCAGTCATGCCTTTCAAAGTTATGCCTTTCAGCAAGAAAGATTAAGAGATTAGAAAAGGAGAAGAAGGTATCAAAACTCCTTTATTATATTTTTTGGCTTTGTTACAAACAGTCGCCAATCCATGGCCTCCTAGCAGCAATACTGCAGTTTGGCTGGCGTCAGCATTGATGCTGCCCTCAGTGGCGTGTCAACAACCACGCAATTGGGATAGCAAGCTAGATGTAATGTTAGTCCAAGATAACTGTAATGTTAGTTGGGCTTTTGTGTTACGTATAAATTTCAAGAGCTACTCAGGCCTAATGGTGTGTACGTGTGCTTCACAGCTAGTACGTAGCATGTACTGGGGCCTTACACCACAGGTAGGTTAGATTTAGCCAAGTAACATTATACGTTAGGTTTGGGCAAGTAAAGTTACAAAGGTTAGGTTTAGGCAAGTAAACTTATGAAGGCTAGGTCTAGGTAAATAAAGTTCTGTACTCCAGGTTAAGACAATTAATGTTACGAACATTACGTTTAGGCAGGTAAAGTTACAATGTAATGTTAAGTAAAGTTAAATGGGTTAGGTTTAGGAAAGTAAAGTTATGTAGGTTAGGTTTAGGCAAGTAACATTCCGTACATTACCTTTAAGCAAGTTAAGTTATGTACAATATCTTTTGGCAAGTAAGTTAAGTTTCAAAGGTTAGATTTAGGCAAGTAAAGTTACGAAGGTTAACTTTAGGCAAGTTAAGTTACGAAGGCTTGGTTTAGGCAAATAAAATTTCATAGGTTGGGTTTTATGCAAAAATAAAATGTCATAGGTTAGGGATAGGCAAGTAAAGTTATAAAGGTTAGCTTTGGGTAAGTAAAGTGACATACATTAGGTTTAGGCAAATAAAGTTAAGAAGGTTAGGTTTAGGCAAGTAAAGTTAGAAACATTAGTTTTAGGCAAGTTAAGTTATGTAGATTAGGTTTAGACAAGTAAAGTTGCAAAGGTTAGGTTTAGTCAAATAAAGTTATGAAGTTTAGGTTTAGGCAAATATAATTTCATAGGTTAGGGATAGGCAAGTAAAGTTACAAAGGTTAGCTTTGGGCAAGTAAAGTGATGTACATTAGGTTTAGGCAAATAAAGTTAAAAAGGTTAGGTTTAGGCAAGTAAAGATAGGAACATTAGCTTTAGGCAAGTAAAGTTATGTAGATTAGGTTTAGACAAGTAAAGTAACAAAGGTTAGTTTTAGTCAAGTAAAGTTACGAAGGTTAGGTTTAGGCAAATAAAATTTCATAGATTGGGTTTTGGCAAATAAAGTTACAAAGGTTAGGTTTTATGCAAATAAAAATTCATAGGTTAGGTTTAGGCAAGTAAAGTTACAAAGGTTAGGTTTTATGCAAATAAAAATTCATAGGTTAGGTTTAGGCAAGTAAAGTTACAAAGGTTAGGTTTGGGCAAGAAAAGTTACAAATGTTAGCTTTAAGCAAGTAAAATTATGAAGGTTAGTTTTAGCCAAGTAAACCTAACATCCCTCCATACACAGACTTTTGCCCTTTACACTACTTACTAATATTACTGCGTTCAGTGCATTGGTCACATGAATGCAGCCTTACCATGAGACAGGTTATACATGAAATGTAGTGCATGAGAAAAGCCTGCTTGATGACATGACAAATTTTAGTTTCAGCACTCTTATTTATGGTTTGGAAGAGAGTTGGTCATGTTGATAAATATTTTTTGGTTGTCTTAGACCATAGGAATAACATGAATTTTGAGAACTGGTAGAGTTCACCGTTAAAGTCTTGCAAATTGGAATAAATGAACAGGTCAAGTAGCTGCAATTGTAAACTCAAAAGCTTAGAGGCTTTAATGAAGTAGTGCAGGAGACTGACTCAGACTGATACCAGACTTTCTTATTTACCATTAAACTTTTCTTTTTGGCCCACTTAAATCACACATGCGATAGAACACTGAGAGGAAGCTGCCACAGACAGTCAAAGGAAGACAGCTCTGTGAGAGGAAGAGAGCTGAAATAGTATCTATTTTTCTCTGTGGTTTTCACGTTGAATATCGAGTAGCAGCATGTTGACGTGGTTAGTCTAACCACCCTGCCACAAGACAGCAGCTGCACTGCAGAGGCTCTCTGTGATCTCTCAGGATGGGCGCCTTCACTGATTATCCATCTTATGATGACTACAATTACACTGATTACTTTTCTGAAGATGGGATATTCAATTTTAGTGTCCCAGGGGACTGCATTGTCTCACACCTGCGTGGCTCCCACATCTTCCTGCCCGTACTGTACTGCCTCATATTTTTCATAGGCTTTTTGGGGAACCTCTTTGTGATCACAGTGGTGGGCAGCAAAGGTAGGAAAGGTGGGCGCCTGGTGGACACGTTTGTTGTCAACCTGGCCATGGCTGACCTTGTCTTCGTCCTCACGCTGCCTCTGTGGGCCATCTCTACCAGCCAGGGAGGCGTCTGGGACTTTGGGTACGGCGGGGACCTACTGTGTAAACTGAGCAGCTACATCATAGCTGTGAACCGCTTCTCCAACATCTTTTTTCTCACCTGCATGAGTGTCGATCGCTACCTGGCTGTGGTGAAGCTGATGGACTCGAGGTACCTGAGGAGCAGCAGGTGCATCCGTGCCACCTGTGTTGGAGTGTGGGTGAGCTCCCTGTTGCTTGGCATCCCATCCCTGGTGTACCGCAGGGTGGGGCTGTCCAGTGTTGGACTCTCCTGCTTGGAAGACAACAACTCACCTTTCTTCCTCGGCCTCAGCCTCACCATGGCGCTTCTCACCTTTGTCCTCCCAGTGTTAATCATCGTGCTCTGCTATGGTACCATCGTCGTGCATCTCAACCAGCACTGTGCTGCAAACCCTCGGGCTGAAGCCCGCCGCAGACACTCCCTCAAAATGGTCCTGTCCATCATAATAGCCTTCGTGGTCTCCTGGCTCCCCTTCAACATCTTCAAAGTCATCATCATCGGCTCGCAGCTCTCAAACACTGAGCTGAGTTGTGATGCTCTGATGTGGCAAACACACGGGCTCCAAATTTCGTGCTGCCTGGCCTTCCTCAACAGCTGTGTGAATCCAGCCATTTACTTTTTCCTGGACAACCACTTCAGGAGACGAGCCGAGGGTCTGTGCAAGACCTGCATAGGGAAGCCAAAGTTGCTGCAGAGCTACAACTCTTCAGCTTCATTCACCAACGTTGGCACTTCAGAGAGCTTTGGAACAACTGGTGGGAGAACTCAGCTGCAGACGATGGAGTAGGAGGCATGACACTTTCCTTTAACTGTGAGGGGAAGTAAAGTTTTTGTTCTCTTATTAATATGTGAAAGCTTGTCATCTTGATAATGAGAGGCTCTGAGTATATGTCTCTCTCTGGATGTTTATATGAAGTAAAACCAGATACATGGCAAGAAAAAAAATTGGTACAAAAAATATGATTTTCCTTTGTCATATATGTCCTTTATTCTAATTTTCTACAAATATTGAACATGCTTTTTATAGCTGTTTATTTTGTACCATATAGTTCAGTAGTGTTGATATATGATTATCTACTATTATCTTTTGTTTGTATGAATTCCTTTAATATTTTTGTAGCATTAGTAAAGTGTAATTATGTCAGTTAACAAGTATAAAAATATATCATTTACAAATGTGTAGCATTTTTTGTTAATGTTTTTGATGTATTGAAGGCAAGAATTCAGTGATGTTGTTTTTATAAGGTGTTCATGATTAATGTTTCATGAAATACAAATACTGTTGTGATAAAGTTGCATTTAAAAAATAAAAGCTGAAAAATATATTTTTGTGTATTATTTGTAAATTGAAATTTACAAACCCATGACAGAATTGTGTTTAATTAGTCATTCCACTTCAATAAATCAATGAAATTAACTCATGATGATGATGATGATGATGATGATGAGATATGACCTTAGAATTCAATGGTAAAAAAAAGAAAACACTTGTTAATTAATTAAGGATAACATGAATTTAAGTTGATGATTTAATTGTGCTATAATATATTAATACACTGGGCTTTCAAGGACTGCTCACCAAACCTTTGGCCCATTTGTTTTCATAACTGATTTTATTGCATCACAATATAAAAAAGAAATCACACATCAAATTTTATAACAACCCTTTCCATAAACAGAATTCAGAAACCAATGACTTATAATAGTAAATTACATTTGATTTCAGTGAACTTACACAACAAGTGCTGCAGCTCCAAACTGTGACTTGCAGTGAAGACAATCATGCTACAAAAAGATGAGGTCATTTTAGTTAAGTTTAGGAAGATTCATAAAAAAAACCTATCATTATAAACATGTTAATGTTTGGCAGCATTATTAAAGTTAGTTTTGTTATCATCCTCAGTTGTAGCTGCTTGTCAGTGACAATCCTGGCGTTTAAAGAGGTGAAATTATTTTCTATGTTGTCTGTTGTAAAGAAAATGAACTTTTAGGATATACTTGTGCAATTACAAATAATAAAATGCAGGGACCTGTAGCATTTCATGTTGTTCCCTAATGTAGCACTGCCCATTGCTGAGGTATAAGTGCACAGTTTTATCCATAAGTGATAAGTTTCAAAGTTTTGGAAAAGTGCTCAACATGAAAGCAGTGTTTGGTGTATTAATACAATAATACATTAAAATAATATCAGCATTGGCTGGTCAAAGGATATTTCTTTTCTTAACTGACTGGAATTAAGTAGAGACAATACAATAATTAAGCTGTGTCTGTCTGTGTGTTATGTTGAAGAAATACAGGAAATGTTGGTTCTTTGTCATTTACTCATTTTATCATGTTACACTGGCTGCCTCTGCTTACTGTAACTCAGGTTAACAAAATGAAATAATCCACTCAACATCTCAGATTTTATCTCGTCTTTTAGGCGTACCAGTAGCTGTTTAGTTTTGTGCACTTTGTGTGTGGTTTGACAGACGTTTTGTGCGTTGTCCTCTTGGCATGAAAGAGTGCAAACAGAGAACACTAAATTTAAAAAGAAAAAAAAACTCAGAGGTGTGAAATATGAGGTCATTTATGATTTTTCACTTTCATGGGTGAGTTTTACACAAGTGAACAAGAACACTAATAGGACCGTGAGAAGCAAGTCACACTTATTCATACAAGGAGAACTGGCAACCTAAAAACAGGAAACAAAAGCTAATTGTGTGGAAGATGGTAGAAATTCTCACGTGTAATCAAAAAGTGCTTTAAAATATGAAAAGGGGCCCAATGGCAGTAATTCTAGATGAAGTTTGTCTAAAAAAACAAAACACAAAAGGCTCCTCGGCCAGCATATAGCAAAACAACAGGCAGCTCAGATCTGATACCTGCGTTGTCTACTGAGAGGAAGACTATGCAAAACATTTGTATGTGAACAAACTTCTCCCAGGTCTATAAAACGTCTTTACTGTCTGACAACAAAGCAGAGTCACTTAGGGTACTGCTAAATGGAAGTTCTGAGAAATCAACGGTTTTCACATGGGTGTTGGTAGCACATATGAAAGTTCAAATGTTCATGCATGCCCACTTGTGTTTCAGTTGTATATGAGTAGTTTCAGACATGAAAACCAGGTAGGGTGCCAGGCTATGGGTGCAAAGGGTCAGGAATTTCCCCTGCCCTGCTTGAAAAAAAAGTCATCTCAGAGATGCACTGACCAGCTTCTCTTGTAAGACAGTTATAACAACGTCACAAAAAACTACCATCGGTTTGATATCAAGTAAAAGATGAACATTAGAAGTTTAGATCATTGTATTTTATTGTTGTTAAACCAACAGGCAACATCATGTCTCTTTAAAGAACCCATATGTGTGCACTGACAGTGACAGCACTTACAGAACAGAGTATTCTCGCATTGTAGAGCGTAGTGGGGGGGGGGGCATTTTGCCTTTAATGGACAGGACAGCCAAGTGTGAAAGGGGGAGAGAGAGAGAGAGACAGAGAGGGAGAGAGAGAGAGAGAGAGAGAGAGAGAGAGAGAGCAGCAAAAGGCCACATGCTGGACTTGAACCCGGGCCGCTGCGGCAACAGCCTTGTACATGGGGTGCCTGCTTCCACTAAGCCACCGACACCCCGTGATGCATATGTTTATACTTTCAAAGTTTGACATTTCAGAAAACAGCCTCCCTCAGGATGGAGATGTGTCGATCTTTACAAGTTAAAATAAATGTATCACAGTTCTGCATGTGTGGCTTTCCTTTTTTTTTTTTTTTTTTAGTTTTTTACAAGTTACATAACTTTAAGTAACAATAAGTTTAAAGTTGAATGAATCTATAGCTTTGTTTAACTTCATAACAAACATGTACATTATCCTCTTTGTTAAGGTTTTGTGTGTGTGTTTATTGTACAGTGTTACGGATCAATGTTGTATTTAATGGATGGCACCTTTAACTTGAGAACAGAGCAGTCCACAAGCTTCACATTCACACACACAGACACACAGCAGTGCTAGGTGCTGACGGCTTTCAGGTTTACTGAATTGCTTAAGGACCCATAGTCATGCAGACGTGAGGAGCCAGGGTACAAACCACCAGCTCACCAACAGTGATGAATGACAGTTGCTCGTTTCTGTTAACTGAAAAGATGGAACACGTTTCACATAAATGAAATACAATAATGATAATAGATGCAGACTCATTTTTTGTTTTATGTATGAATCATTGAAAGTGTTTCAATCTGTGAGTTCAGAAGTTAAGCTAAGCTGTTGTGGCTCAAGTTTCTCATGGCAAATATTTTCTTCAAAGTTAACATAGTATTAGTTTTATTTAACATGTTTAAAAATAAAAGTACTTTACATTTCTATATATATTACAAAGGGAAAATCTACATTTCTGAAGTAATAGCAAACTAGTTGTAAGAGATGTCAGCTGTTCTGAATAAAAACCCTTTAATAAACTGCAAACTGACGTATTGTGCCAGTCTGGTACACACATAATGAAAGGTGTGACCTTGGCACTGAGTCTTATCAGGCTTTTCCAGTAAGTCAGTTTCTGTTAATCTTAATGGTGAGACTACAAACTGGTAATGTTCTCACAGCTCTGCTGCAGCTCTTTCATGTCGGCAGCCTCTCATTACGGAACTCATATTTTCAAAAACCAGATCTGTCATGCTCCTTGATGCATGAACTTATCTTCAACTTGACAAATGAATAACTGTAAAATCACTATAAAATTATAATTGTTAAAATAACAATAAAAGTAAAAGCCTGGATGTTGGAGCAGGGCGATACGGATGTTTCATTGACACACTAACACTACTACTATCAGTTGGTCTAATATTTTGATGTTGATAATATTTCAGTCTTTGGCTATGTATCTTCTGTTAAGGAAAAGAAATGACACATTATTCCTGTTACATATATAAAGTTGAATCTATAACCAATAAACACCCATATTCAGCTGAGGGGTTTTGCTGCTACAGGCTGATGCTAACTAACCTTAGCTAACTTTATGACCAAAATTATTCAGACAGTTTGCTAACTTAATGACTCTCACTAGTGCTACTGTTAAATTATGTTTTAGCTTTTATTTTTATCCTGTTATTGTCACTTATTTTGCTGTTTATAGTTTTATTGTGAAGTTGCACTACACCTAGTTGATATCATTTTTGTATGTATCTTTTCAACTTTGTAACCTTTTTGTTAAGTAAAAAATATTTTGTGAAAACCTATTTCTTGCATGTTCATATTATCAGCACTTTTCTCTGTACAGACAGACCTTACCTGGAGTGAACAGTATGAACAAAGGCACACTCTAAATACTGTCACATTAGTGATATCTAGTTTGTTTCAGTGTTGCCCTGCTGTAAGTGCAGCTGCAGTGAATGTAGACATAAACTATGTCACAGTGGGGGGTGTGTATTAACTTCACTGTTTAACCACCAACATGCAGAACCTTTACACAGAGATTATGCCAGAGTTGCAGCACTCAGGTCAGATGATTGACTGTGGTTTCCTTGTTCCTTAAAAGTAAGCTCATGTCTACATTGTTTGATCTGTACAGAGTCGGCTCACTGAGAAAAGCGCATTTATGCTTCATTTCTGATTGTCCTGTGAAACAAGAAGTCCTCCATTCCAGTGTCATCAGATGTCAGGTTATTTGCTGACATCTGATGACAGGGGAGGGTCATCACTTTTTTTTATTTTAACTGAAAGTTCCCCATCTGGACACAAATGTCATTCATAGGTGAATACTCAAAAATATGTATTATTTTTTCCAAATAACAGTTCTTCCTACAAGAATTAAGATCAAGGATTAATATCAAAGAGCCATGGTTTCAGATTTATTTACAACAATTAACTGCTTGGCAAATAAAATCACTGAGACAGATGTGGTAAATGTTTTTGTGTCTGATGAGAGAAAAGGAAGTGCTGATAAAAAAAAACAACAGACTTTGTTTATCACTGCCAATTATGTGTTTTACTACAATTCATTGCTTTACACAAGTTAAAACATATTTATATACCAGAATTTTCCAAAGTATATAATAATCTCTATTTGTGCAACAAATGGCACAGGTAGAATTTGGACTTAAATTATGTGAAATGTGAAAAAGAACATTTGGTTAAACAGCAAAAGTTATGTGTCTATAAAACAGAAGACATACTTTTGTTGTGAATAGAAAATAGTGATGATCAGTTTCATTATTGTCCATGAACAAAGACACATTCAGCCACTATCTGTCACTAAATATGCCATGAAATGTTGATCGCTGTAGCAAAGGTGTATATTTGAGCTAATGGCTTTAGGTTGTTGGTTTGTGATGCACAGCAAAAATAAATAAATAAATAAAAATAATGATCTTTCATAATGATTAGGTCTTGTTAGGGTAAATGTCTATATCAGGTCTGATTTGCAGTGACCCACTGGATGTGTGAATGGCTAAAGGTCATTAGCTGTCATAAAATATTTACTTAGTAAATAAGTAAGCTACAATTCATTCATGTGTTTCTCTTAAAGCGGACTCCATTATTATTATTCACTCTTTCATTTGAAACACCATCACCATCACCACCATCATTTTAGCCACTGATGCAGCATCTACTAGTAGCTTACTGTATCAGAAGAGTCAAAATTGGATGTTTTGGTACCTGACTGTTCACATGGTTTACAGGATTAAAGGTCTGAGTAACGCACTGCTGCCCTCTAGTGGCTAAAACATTGTAGAATATAATGCTGATATTCGTCTCCTTCAACGCACGTTGTCCTCCTCCGTAAAAAACCCGCACTTTGACTATGTTTAGTATTACTTAAGTTGTTTTGATGTCGAAATCCGTTGAATAACCATGAGACGGTGTTTACTGCCGGTAAACCGCCCACACAGTACCAGAGAAGAGGATGAACCATGCGGCGTTCACAAACACATTTAAAGCCCGTGATTCCCAAAAACATGTTGGTAAATATTACTTGAAGCCTATTCAATAGCCACCAAGTGACAATAATGGCAACTCGATCCATCCACGGATTGTTTCACATGGAGGTTATTGTTTTATTTAAGCAATCAAGGGACACATTGGCAGAATTAGAAACGGAAAGCAGGAATAAAACAACGACAATACCTTAGAATAATAACCCTTTGTTAATTAATGAAATTAGAATGTTGAATTGTATTAATCTCTTTCGCTATGTTGTTTTTGATTTTTATGACTAAATTTGACACGCATGGCCATTTTTACTTCGAGTGTCGGAAATGCGGTTGCCATGGTAAATACTTTATGTTGTTAGCTGGGTCATTTCTTCCGACAGTTCCTGAAGGCGGCACTGCGTAGCTTTACTTTAGAAGTAGCCTCTCCAACAGAAAAAAGTTAGGCTAGGGGAGTAAAGTGTTAATTTAATGTTTGTGTTATATTGGGTCCACTCGGTTAGACCACAGAGACTTAACTCGAGGACTTGGTGTTGGGTTCTTCTGCTCTTTTGTCAGTGTAAATAGAAATAAACTTCCAGCTCAAATCTGGGAGACTGAGAGCCGATGGAGCGCAGTTTGTATGGATGCAGATGAGGCACGATGCTAGCTAGCTAACTAGCTAACGTTACTGAGGTAAGAGCAAAGGCGATGAAGTTGCAAGTTTTGTTTTACAAACGTTGTGTACATGTACGCAATGTGTTACTAATGCAACTTGACTCACTGCTCCTTTGAAAATAAGTACGTGGGAGTAGATAGTTAAATGTTGGGAAAAGTTCACAAGTAAAGCGAGTTTCTAAACTTTGAGAAACTCTTCAAAGCCGAGGCCCAGCAGCTTTATGAAGCTGAGTTAGCGGGGGGATAAAATGGATGAATAAATACGTTATATTTCTCTATAACGTTACCTGACGCGTAATTCAACTTTCACGTTGGTCCAGCCCTTTTCAATGTTGTCGCACCATTTGGCTTTATTGTGTAAATGTACTTGCATGTACAGAACTACAGTATTCAGGTGTATTCATTATATGTTTATATTTATTATGTCATAATTGTTTGGTAACATTCATTATACATTTTCCCAGTAGTTTAAACCTAGCCACAAAATATGTAATTATAGTACAGGACACTGAGTTTACTTCCATCTTTTATTGTTTGTTCCTATAGAAAGTTAAGGCTGTGTTTCAGGGATAATCCCTGGTGTTTTCATGAAGTTGTCAGTCCTGTGTAAAAGAGAACCACAGTGTAAAGGGACCATAACCTGTGTTAAGATATGTGACTGCACTGACCAGCAGAGAAGTACATAAATTAGCAACATCCTCTTTCAGCAGAAACACACAGCAGTTAACAGATAACCTAACGGTGGAGAACAATGAAATTCAACTTACAGGGGAATTTCATGCTGTCTTACATGCATTCACACTCAGGGTTATCATATGACAGCAGTTTAACAGTACACCTACCCTATGAAGTTTGAACATAATTTACAAAATGGTTGATATATTTGAAACCGAATGATATTGTTTTACTTTATTCTCTATAAAGATTTTTTTTAGAGCAGAAGTCTCAGTAGTTAGTTTGTGATTTCTGTGCATTGAACCATTTCTGCTGTCTACACATTCCTGAGCATTAACCAGGGGGCAAAAGGACATGAGCAGCTTAACCCCTGAAACCTCAGTGAACTGCTGTTGGGATAGTCATTACAAACTTAAGCTGTGCAGCCAAACTTTAGTAAAACTCATGTAACTTCATTTTTTAAATTCTAATGGAGAGCCTAAATTTTCAAGATATGTCGAAATAAACTTGGAAAATTACAGAAATCAGATGCAAAAATGGTCTAGAATATGTCAATTTGCTGTATTGTTACAAGAATACAATTATATTAAATCTTTGGTTTTAATATTTCATTCAGTATAAACATCAAATAGCTTCAACAAAGACCTTGAACAAGCTTATACAGAATACACATACAGTTAAGTACTATCAAGACAGTGTGGAACAATCATACTTTTCCAATTTAAAAGCTACTTAAGAGGAGCTTTAAATGTCTGTCTCTGTATGTAATGGTGTTGATGTGTTTAAGCTTGTTCACTCTCAGCCACGGCCTTGGGCTTGGCCACAGTTTAGAATAGACCTTGATTTGCATGGGTGTGCACAAACTTCTAATTCAGTAATCCACATCAGACACACCACTTCTGCACGCTTGCTCATTTGAGATACACGTGGTATTTTTTTTTTCACATCTTTATTACAGTCAATTAGAGCCCTTAGGCAACATAAAACTTAGAGCTGGCTGCAGGCAGGGGGAGGTGGTGGGTGGAGACCCAGCAGCTCCCAGAGTTGCTTTGTTTGCCTTTTTAAAGCTTAAGGATTTGTACTCCATTAGTGTAACTACTGTAATGTAATATAGCAGTTTTTTTTGTATCCCCATCTTTGATTTAAGCATCATGACAGTGAGATGATATAGTAGCACCTGGCGGAGAAGCTAAGTTGCAAAATATTAAGGGGAAACTGTGTGATCCTCTGGCAGCTGATGGCTCTACACACTGGCAGCGGTAGTCTAGCCGTACTCTTATAAAGGACTCAAGAATATTTAAAGAATTTGTTATGCCAGCTGCTGGGTTGCCTACACAAAGCTCTGTCTCTGTCTCCTGGGGACCTCTGGTTTATATAAACTACCCATGACATCCACCAACTGGCTACTTAAACACAGGACAAGTGTCTGTTTTACAGCAGTGTCGAGGGAAGTTGTAGTCTTAATGTCGAGCATGATGGACATAACTGCACAGTTGTTGTAATTCCATAATTGAAGGATAAAAAATGCTTCCAAAATACTGTTAGCATTAGTGTTGATATAACCTCTAAACTTTGGTTCCCATGAACGGAAGAGATTGTTGTTCATTTATATAATTGCACTTCCCTTGTATCTGATTTTAGGTTATCAAACTGCTTGGTATGCTGCCTGTTTACACAAGGCACTGCTGCTGCTGCTGCTGCTGCTCTTTTATTCTATTAACTATACAGGCGCTGGTAGCTTGTAGTTGTTTCCTAGTTTATTAGGCACACCTAGCTAAAACTAATGTAGTCTAATACAAGAATCTGCAATAAATGCTGCCTTCATGAAGGTTAGAATATTCAGTTTTTTTGTTGAAACTGTTTTAGAGAGGTGCTGATTCAACTTTGTGGTTATTTTGGAGCGTGCGATTTGGTTAATGCATCATGCAGAGGGATGTTTCTGTTAGTCAGCTCACCCTTACTGATATAAATGCAGCAGACAAAATATGACAAACAAAAATTATATATGTATAGAGATTATAGCCCGACTGACTCAGGACTATTTAGGCAGGTATAAAATCAGGTAAAAAAAAAAAAAACTTTTCAGGACTTTCTGATGGACAGAATACAGAGCATTGACTAGTATCAAAATATATCTTGTTATTTCTGTACTTGTTATTTATCGGCTGACATATTTGCCAATACCATTTGATCTGTCGGCCCGACTGATTTATTGTTCCAGCTTAAATGGAGCTAGTGCACAGTGGCTGGTGGTTTGCTGTAAGCTAGCAGGGCTAACATACATTTTGTCAACTTGTCATTGATCTGTGATAAGCCAATATCAGCTTATAATACTGGTCAGATAAAGTAAATACAACAGTGCAAGAAATCAGATTTAATATTTCACTACATTGTCAATGCCAAACGTAAAAGCTTCTGTGAAATGCACCCTGTCTCTTCCCACTGTGAAACCTAAATGTGGAAGTCACTGAACCAAATATCTGCCGCTTTTGTCACCGTGGCTGCTGCTTTCTCGGTGCCATGTCATTTGAGAACTGATTCTTGAGTGTCTGGGAATTGCTGGACCTTTTCTCAGCATGTCTGAGCACCAGCATTCCCGGAAAGCCAAAATGAATATTGAGATTCAGAATGAATGTGAGCCATGCAGTTAGAGAGCAGGTGCTGCATCTGGGTCTCTGTAAATCATGCGGACTATCCCACCAACATGTGTTTCCCTCTTTTTAGTGGAGGCAAAAATGTCAGGCTACAAAAAGGCCTCTGCATTGGTAGCCTGGAAGTGAGAGAAGTGCCAAAGTTTAGAGGGCTATTTGCACACTAGTAAATTTCTAAGTTCATAATTGGTTATTCATTTTTACTGGCTGTTTGAACATCCAGGAGATGGCAGTAGACATGCATTGGCCAGATATTTGACCTTTGTATGCAGAGCTGAACTGTGACACCGACAGTTTATTGTTAAGAAAACAGACGAGGAGAGGAGTCAGCGTGAAAGTCATCAACAGTCAGTTATCAAGTCATTGAGTCATCTATTATCAGTGATGTAAGCATGAATATTTGCTTTGCATATTGTCCCACGTACCCGGACAAAAAGAAACCATCAACAAAATTGAAAGAGTTGAACAAGACTTGTAGACTGCTAAAATGGGTTGATTACTAACATCATATTAGGGCTGTAACTTATTTATATTTTCAATACTGGTTAATCTGTGGAATACTCTGTCAATTAATCGATTAACTGTTTAGTCACCAGTATTCGGATTGGAGGGTGATGTTGTTACATTGTTTGTTTGGTCCAAAAAGACAGTTCACAACCCAAGATATTCAATTTACTAACATACAATGTAAAGACAAGCAGAAAATCTCCATGTTTTAGAAGCTGGGATTGGCACAGTTTGGCATAATTACTTAAAAAAATAACTGGCAACAAGTTTGGTAAGTGATTAATTGTGTAAGTAATTTTTTGTCAGCTAATAGACTACTTGATAAATCGTTTCAGCTTTAAAATGAAAATTATATTCATAAGTGCTGTTGCTCATAAGTTGCACCTGGGTCTTCGATGTTTGTCATACCGTGTGACTACTTTTTATAGTCGTAGTGCTTTTGTAATGGGGCACACGTTTCGCACAGGTTGCCACCACCCATCTATTAGGATGCTGATAAGAGGGCAAAGTGAGGTGTAATTTCTCAGTATCTTTGTCATTGTTGTTGACACAGTTTCAAACTCAGGCAGGAGTGCTGGGTTATATGATACTGACTCAAGTGTTCAGCCCTCTGTATGTGGCCACTCCTCTACAGCAGGCAGCGCTTTCTTAGTGGGCGAGTCTCTCATTCCTGTCCAGACTCTACACAGCTCAGGTTTTGTGCATTTCCATTCAAGTCGGGAGTTGTGAAAGAAAGTTTTTGCCGTTTGGATTTTGACAGTTTTTCTAAGTTTCTCATAAAGTAAGTAGATTTTTTTATACGTTGTCCAGCTGGCAGTGTTTGATGTACTTTACATCATTTAGGTGATTTATTTTTGATCGGTGTGGGGTAACTGTCATCGTGTTGATTGTATTGTTAAGTTAATATTTTATATTTAGACATGGATGATTTTACACACTACATCAGTGTGGTGTGATTGTTTTGTCTGTTTCCTACAGTTTCTTAGCACCTTCAGGGTCGAGACAACCCCTTCCCTGTTTTTGTATAGGTGTGTTTGATTTCTCTAAACCCATCCCTAAAGAAATGCCCAGTTTGTACTTGTTTATCTAATATTGTGTTAGAAATAGAAAAATGTTGGGATTCATGACGCACAATATAAACATTTCACACAGAGAAAATATGTCCAACAAAACATTTGATTGGAAAAAAGTTCAGTATATCAACAGGTCATGTCATATATATAGACAGCAAGCTACTGCACATCTACAGTGCATCAAACTACTTTAGTAGTTTTGGTTCCATCCTTGTGCGGTGCAGGGATGAGAGTCTGACGGTTTTTCAGGGGATTTCAGTGATAAGCACACCTTGAGCTGGTGACTGGGAATCCGAAAGTTTAAAACACTCCCAAGACGTATGACTCAATTTTTTTTGTACAGCCTGTCTTTGTGGGGATTGTTGGATTAAGTTACCTACCTGATAAATTAAGTTCTGAATTAGATCATCATATTTTGGTTTTAGTTCTGAAAGGGTTGATCATTAGGTAGCTGATCGACTTGATTGAAAGTAAAATAACTTTATAAGTATCCAGCAAAAGCGGCAAATTGATATATGATGATTCCAGCCTATCAGAAGTGAAGAGTTGCTGCTTTTCTCTGGGTTGTATCATTGTAAATGAAAAATCTTTGGATTTTGAACTATTATAAAGTCGTCACCTTGGGCTCTGGGAACATTTGATGGTAACTTTTCAATATTTTAGACATTTTTATTAAATGATTAGTTGATTATTCAAAAAAAATATGTATTGATTAATGATGTAAATTATCTCTCGTTGCATCCCCAGTGGGTTTATTCCTTTACTTTTTTGATTTTTGTTGTTATTAAATTGATCAGCAATGTGACCTCTAAAGGTGCCTTATACAACATTCGGAGCATTATTACAGCAACAACTATTAGATATGTAAAAGTATAGTAGAGTAATGGTGTCCTGAGAAGAGAATGAGATCACGCTCCCTCTGCGTGTGTTGTAATCTGAGCTTCTCTGTTCTTTGTTGTGGTAGACTGGCTGCGCATGCATGTTCGTGCATGTTCGTGCCTGTAGTCCCTGTGAGTTTGTCCCACTTGCTAGCTAATCGCCATGTCTCTGCACTGTGCTCATATGATGACTACTGCTGATGACGCTGTCCCAACCCACAACGGCGGAACAACGTCATTGTCATAAGCATAGTGCCTGCCCTATATTCCCCGGACACATCAACACTGTTAGGTCTGTCAGCACTGTTGCAATTGTTAGCACTATTTGCGCTGTTAGCATAGTTGGCTGCTAGCCACTGGTTCAGCCGCCACCATGTTGAGAGCCATGTGCAGACAATCCAGTTTTAGACTCATAGATCAGCTCTGAATGTGTAGTTGTTTGTCGAAAGTACAAGTAGCGTATGTTTACATTTATTTTTCAAACCAAATTGAGTTTGAATTCAGCACTGTAGGTTGTTGTTGTTTTTATTTAATGTCCTGTGCATGAGCTGTTACGCCTTAATTCTTCAAACACAGCAGCCAATTATTTGTGATTTGGAGGAGTGCAGTGTCACAGTCACAGTCATGGGAGCTGTTTGGAGGATGTGTCATGTTCAGGATCATAATGGGACACCCTTATATGGATCCCTGGGCGTCACCATGAGCCTGGACAAACATACGATAGAAACAGCTCTTGCATGTTGCTCATGACTTCACCTCATCTAGTTGTTCCTCAAAACAATGACTGCGGGGAAGCCTCCTAGCTGAGGTGAACCTCCCCTGCATGTTGGTATGCAACCAGCAGCACATTCCTGTATTATCTTGGTTAATAATCAAACCAACAAGTTTCACAGTTTTTACTTGACACCAGCTGAATATATGGCTCATGTGTTCTGAGCCTCTTATCTGAAGGAGTGAGATAATGGTGATCATGTGACATCAGAGACTATCAAACAGGCAGTCACAGGAAACACCCTAGACTTGGGAACATGTGTGTGTACTCATGCTGTGGAAGACTATGACTATACCTGACTGTAGGGTCATGAAGGAAAGTCACACCTGAATCACTCCATTAGCAGGTCACAAGATAAAGGATTGTGCAGTCTTTGGAGAGCTTGTGTTAGTGCTGTTTGGCATTAGATTTGGTTTTAGATTTTATCTAACCATCTATTGCTTGAGTGGCTTGTAATCGTCCTGAATGGACTGGAAGGCTGCAGGTTTAAATGCTGTGCTGTTTTTTGAGCTAAAATGTCACAGTTTGAATCTGGTCTGGTTTTGCCTTTTGAAGACACAAGACAAAGATACCTTGGGGACAGGAAAGTTGAATCTTGCCCACTCAAATTTTAGTTTTTCTTGATGGAATTTGCATTTTTGTATTGGGCATTACACCCAAAGTACCAGAAGTGTGTCCACTTTTAAGTCCAATGTTGCCACAAATGATTCCTGACTTTTGTGGAAAAGTTTGACAACTGTAATGGATACTAACATTGAAATAATACTTTACAGGAAATGGTGAGCGTCAACATTATCCACTGAAAAATAACAACAGGAAGTCGATCCACTGACATGGAGGGCAACGGAGAGATCAGTGACACAGACAGCGGCATCATCCTTCATTCAGGTAAACATTTTGTTCATCACTTATAGCATTTTTGAAATATGGATTAGCGCAACTGTCTTAGTCACATTTTTATTATAAATAAAGGAATGCACAATCAGGCACTAAAGACATAGTTAAATGCCACTGCAACGTAACATAATTATGCAACATAGGTTCACAGTGAGTTATAAAGAGCGCGCAGCTGTGCGTAATTGTCGCACGTAGTGATGCCGCCGTGGTTTTTTTAGCCGCCCGTTCCCACCCGCAGCAAAATTCAAACCGCCTGCTCCCGCGATATTTGCGTTCCACAGGACCCAATCCCAATGCAGCCCTCTAAAACATTCCTCCATTTTTCTAGTCTCAGAATATCAAAACTTGCAGATGTACACATGTGCAACATCATAAATGTGATCATTTGTGTAAGTGCAGTTAGCTTCAGCAAAGTTTATTGTTGGGCTGCATCAAATCTTGATTCTTAGAAATCTAAATCAGTGACAATAGCCAGCCGTGTGAGATTAAAATTAGTAGAAAACAAACTAGGCGGCAGATTGTCTTTGGTCGGCTGCCCAAATATGTCTGAGGGACACTGGGCAGCTTTATTGAATTGCATTAATTAATGTGAAAACTGGATTTACGTGGGGATTGCTTCATGGTCTTTTAGCCAGTAGACATGGCTGGAGACCCAAATTAATGTAGTACACACATACCGTTAAATTTAGTTGTACATAAAACCATTACTTACATAAATAAGGAATTTAGACATACAACAGAATTAAAATCAAGTTGAAAGTTCAAACTTATTTTCTCAAATTCTTTAGGATTTTAAGGCAACCAGGACACTAACTTTCAGATAGTTTCTTTTTACAGTGTTGCTTAGTCCAGCACATGGTAATCTTATCACAGCAGCTGCTTTCAAATGACCTCAAACAGAAGACAAATAAAAAAATCCCAACTAAAGTCAAGTCAAAACATACAAATATATTTGTGTTGTTCAGGACTAAACAAAGTCATTGTTCACAGGTCAAACAAAATATCAGTATCTTAAGTTTAACACTTAGAGAAACATTCCTACATCAGCAGTCATAAGCAATGGTATGGCTTATTGACTCTTACAGGCCCAGTAGTCTGTCATGTGACAGAGCTGTTATGATCTTGATGTCTTTTGCCAAAACACAGTTTATTTCTACCTACTCATTCTCTTCATCATCGCTGTTACATTTAGACTCGGTGACATAAATCTTCCCCTGACACAAGTTCACCTCTTTTATTGCAGCATCATTATCGAATCTGTCAAGCTTGTCTTTCGTCCGATGTTTAGCAAAATGGCATCCTTTCAGAGAATAACTCAATCATAGCAGATTGCATGGCGTTAGCAACCGCTGCTACAAATTTCTTGGCAGCAGTGATGTCAATATGTTCTCAATAAAATAATCTACATTCTTGAAGCAACTCCCTACGTCAGCACACAGCAAATTAAATTAGTTTTAGGTAGTAATTCCAGCCCATTGAAGAAAATGAAAGTCATATTTAAAGAAAACAGGTCATTATCAAAACTCAGGCAGGGACCAAAATGCATCTGGTCCATTGTCTGTGTCCTGCTCAAGATGAAGAAAGCAACACAAATGATCCAGATTAAAAGAGCACTCCATTGATTTCTTTCTTGCCAAACATGACATCTACATTACCCACAATGCAACTTGGCCAACCACAGTTTTGTCAAAGCTTTGGGTTTGTTATGCTAATAGCAGCTAACGTAGCCTTGAGCCGCTAGCCTGAAGCAGAGATGAGGAGTGGGCTACAGAGCTCTGGTGAACACACCTTTTTAGAACTTCTTTATGAAATTATTGTCATTTTTAAACTTGGAGTCTTTGGACCAAACTGAAGCTGCCTCAAGTCCGACTTCATACAGCTCCTTGTGGAGCCATAAAAGGCTTTATACAACTTTTTTCCACCTAAACAGGTGTACTCCCTGAAATCTCTGTTACACTTTGGTGTGTAAATTAAGTGGAGTACCTATTTCAAGTCTGATCTTTTGCTGACCTTTTGCTGGATTAACATGTTTTGTGACTACTAAAGTTGAAACAATTGATCTAGTAATCCATTAGTTGATGAACAGAAAATTGACCAGCACAAAATTTAGCAATCAGTAAACCATTTGTGTCTTTTTTGAAGCAGCAACGCAAAAACTTCTGTAGCTGCAGCTTCTCAGTGGTGAATAGTTGCTTGTTTTTTAGTTGTCTGTGATATTAAACTGGATATATTTTCATTTTGACTGCTGATCAGACACAACAAGCACTTTGAATATGTCACCTTGTGTTTTGAAAAAATGCGATAGGCATTTTTGGCTCTTTTCTGACCCAATGATTAATCAGTTTAACAGGTGCAACTCTAGTGAATATGTTGCTCTTTGTATGTTGTAAGTCATTAAAGGGAGTCACAGATTGTGGTCACCTAGAATTATTATTCTATGGTAACAATCCCATAGAATCAGCTGCAAAGTTTGGCAACCCTGTTTTTGCTACGCCCAGCAGTGTCTACTGATTAGTTCTGGCCTCTCTGACATTCCTTGCGCCTTAATTAAGCCACGTGATGTCTGTCCTATACAATGAGAAAGTGTCGATCTACAAAGAATAGGGGGATTGTCACTCGCAGAGGAGGAATTCTTTTCCCTATTGTAATGCTGTCACACTTCTTTCCTGTCGCACCTCAGATGTTTGTCAGTACCTGCAGGGATTCTGTTAATAATCTCTGAAGGTATGTGGCGGTCAGTGCATTTTGCCTGAAGCCACTCCCACTGCCCTGAGACTAATCTTAATGTCATTAGTCACCAAGGCTGCAGACAGCAGCAGACAGAACACTAACACATTGTTAATAGTTACGAAGATCCTGCCAGTCTTTCTGCATGCCACTAAAGAAAACAACGATAAAAACAGAAGGTACGTTGTGTTGAATGCAACAATTGTGTGTGTGTGTGTAGTGGCCTCGAGAGTTCATCTGGAGCAGTGTAGTGACAAGGCACTTTCTAATTAAAATCATGGTTAGCATAGTATTAGCATGCCAGATTACCCTCAACAAGGCAACAGAGGACAAAGTAAAAATAAAATTAAATAGAACAGGCATCATCATCAACATGAAGGTCATGAAATAGGAAATGATAATAATATTGTTTTGATAAGAATAAATTAAGTTTTACAACGGACATTTTTAACTTTTACAAGTTATATTATTGCTCAAACATGACATTGGACGTGACTGATAAATGCAGTTGTAGCAACATTAGCTGTGATATCACTAACATGCATTTATAAATAGACTTAAAATGTTATTATTTTACTGAATGTTTGATTTGTTTTGTTTTCATTATGGCAGAAAGTACATATTCATTTTTACACGTTATGCACATATGTTTGCGGCCAACAATCCTAAACCACTTTTAAGTTGGGGGCGGGAATCTCCAGGCACCTCACGATTCAATTGAGATTCAGTGGCCAACGATACGATTAGAATCTTGATGCATCAAAACGTTTGATTCCTGTACATGAGTTATTTTTTCTCACTGTGACTATTTTAGCTTAGTTGGACACAACTTGCATACAGTGTGACTCTTGTCCAAGCCCCCTTTACCCTTCATATTTATATAAACCAAAAAGCTTTTATACCATAGACTGTATTTTTAAAAAAAAAATGGACGTAGCTACCATGAAATCACCCATTGGTTTGTGGACTCCCGTTTTGAAGTCTTAGCATTTATGGTCACCACGTTGGTTGTTTGGAGCCAGAAGTGACTATATTTGAACAACAAGGTGGAGCTGTGGAGGAGCGAGGGTTGGATGTGACTGAGAGTCTGAAGACACTATCCGCAGACAGCCCGTCACTCAAAGCTGCCTGCCCTTAATTATACATAACTTTTGCGCCTTAATCTAATGTAAACACAAGTTATAGAAAACTTCACTCCCCTACAGTTGTCATGAAGGGGGAAATTAGCAATAGAGACCAAATCTGATTTTTGTACGAGGGTGTAAACATGTTTATTTATGCTGTGAAGCTGGGCATTTTGACATGGGGGTCTATGGGGATTGACTGGCTTCTAGAGCCAGCCTCAAGTGGCTGTTCAGAGAACTGCAGTTTTGGCACTTTGCAGTGTTTGTTAATTTTTCAGACCTGGAGGTTGCCAGTTATTTCATACGCTAGCTTTTAAGTCAGGGATTGACGCTCGGATTATATTCATCTGCAGTTGCTCACACTCTGCTATCCTCACCAAAGAAGTAGCCTAGCTTAGAATGTAAACATGTTGATGTTTACATCCGTTACTACTCATCCAATGGGTTCAGGCATAAGGAACGTACAGCCTGGCCTGACAAAATAGTTACAGTTGTTCATAATGTGGAGAACTGGGTTTTAAATTTCTAGTGATTGACTTGACTGGATTGAAACATAATCATTAAAGAGAGTATCATGACATAACATATGTCATAACAGTCACATAATCTCAGATGAGTCCTTATGCTTCGTTCTTGTTGCATTACGCAGGCTCTGACAGCCCAATGACGCATACGAAGGATGTGACCACGCACACGCGGGCCATGAAGCTCAAACACCAGGATCTCCAAAACCGATTAGAGAAATGCCTGCGGGACCTGAAGGATCTCTGCATCCGAGAAGCTGTAAGTAAAAGTAATCTACAAATCAACAGGCCGACTGTTTAAAAACTGACTACATAATAAGAATTACATTGAAGCTTCCAACGTCTGTCGTCATGTTTTATGACGTCATCTCTCAAATCAACTTGCTTTAATGAATAAATGTCATTTATGGTACTGTTAGATTTGCTGCTAGACCACTAAGTTTATACAGGTGTGTGCACAGCAAGCAGGAGAGCAAAGCATTTTTTGACTGCAGTGAAAATGTTGTCTTGGAAAGGCTATATGCCAACAAGTGTTGATAGAAGCAGAATATTTAGTTTGATTAAAAAAAATGTTGTAAATTTTGTTTTCTTGGAGATGTTTGGATCACATGAGGCAGAAACAATACTCAGCAGCTACTGGAATCTAATTCTGCAAATTGTACAGTACTTACAATATTAGTGTAGCCTAATCTTTATCTGCAACTGTGCAGAAATACCAGGTTTAAGCAGAATGAATAGACATGCAAAAAAAGAAGGCTTAACAGCATTCAAGTGTTGATTTAAAATTTAAATGTCAACTTTAGGAATGAGGCTTTGGTGCTTTGAACTATTTGCGACAGCCGTAAACATGTCACATAATCACGATAATCTGAGATTATTAAAATTTTATGAAAGGTTTCAGCAGACCCAGACAAAGTCAAACTGAAGACAATTGTTACGTAATTAGGCGAGGTGATACAAAGTGTACTTGCTGTATTGCATGTGATTCCAAAAAAATAGGTGGAGTAGTTTATAGCAGGATGTTTGATGACGCATTTTACTGCAGGTTTACAAAGTAACCTGCAAGAGGGGACATTTTTAAGATGTGTTCAGCCCTGTCTGCACAAATGTGGATGAATTAAATCAAGTTTTGTGTCCACACTTGTGTTTTTTCACACATTTTTCACACGATTTCAGATTTCTGTTGTTCACAAACACGGACTGGACTTAGATATCCAAAAACTTTTATGCTTTCTCAAATTAGTCTGCATTAGCTTCAAACCAGCCTTAATGTCACAGTGGTTGTGTTGAGTCATGGGCCATTGAGAGGAAACAAAAGGTCTTTTAATCTATCTTCCTGTCCTTTGTGACGCTTTTATTTTGGCTCTTACTGCCAAGCAGAATACAAACATCATCCCTTTCCTTTCGGACACATTGTGTACTGAATTAGAACATGCAATGTGGCTGCTGTGAGATTTTCTTTAAATGTATCATAGCCTTTGAAGAGGTATCCTGGTGGTTCAGTTGGTCAAAGTGACTTCAGTGTTCCCATGACAGCCTGGATTTCAATCCAGCTCCAGCATGAGACTTTTGTCACACATCACCCCTTCATTTCCAATACTTTCTGCAGTACTTTCTCTCTCTGCGCTGTGAATTATCAAGTAGAGACAAAACATTGGCACATTGAATCACTTCGAAACTGGTCACATATCCCTGTGGGAGTATCTCTGCCATGCGTTGGTGCTCCAGGGTAAAATCCCAGGACTGATCATTCTTTCCTGTTGACACTCGGGCTGGGCACTCCTGTTGGGACACGCTCAGGTGAACTAATGGGAGGCATGACGCCTCTCCCTTCTTTTAGTGACAAAAGAATAAGTAAGCTCATTGGCCGTGCTTACGTGTTTGTCTGTCTGCAAAGGTGGCTGTCTAAGAGTGACTCAAAGTAACTGTTTTAATGACTGATCTATAATGAAATCAGTTAACAGTGCGTTGCCGTGCTCTGGGTTTGACTTTGACACGGATACTCGATGCTGTGAGAAAGTGAGACCTAAAGAATGTGTTGTGAAAGGAAATCTCTGCAAACGCAGAATTGTGCAAGAGATTCCACAAACCTGTATGCCTCAACATGTAAAGAGAGCAGATTGAGATACTGTTACATCATTTCAAAACTTCCACAGAAGTGGTTGAATAAACTCTGAGATGTGTATCTTTATTTGAACAACGAAAATGAAAGGATTTAGTGTTTGAAAAGATGTCTTTGTTTTGATTTCACCAAGTCAGAATCTGTTTCCAGACAATGAACTTTATGTTACGTTCAGATGTTGCTTTGTGGACATTTGGATTTGTGAAGTTTTCTCTGTTGTTTAGGAGTTGACAGGCCGGCTGTCAGATGATTACCCTCTGCTGCCAGGAGAGAAGCCTCCGCAGATTCGCAGACGTATTGGAGCTGCGTTTAAACTGGACGATCAAAGCATCCCACAAGGAGCAGAGGTATAAGCGGCATGTGGAGACTGCAAGACTGAATAATATCATTTATAAACAATGTGTAAACCTCAATGTTTCAGGAGTCACACTGTTGTCTCTCTCTTGTCACGCCACCATTTTACAGGAGTCAGAACTGAGTTTAGTGGATGGTGAGCTGTCGCTTCAAATGAAGATATACGAGGCAGCGCGCAAGCTCTGCGATGAAGATCACCTGAGTAAGGCTGTTAGAAAGAGCCGAATACAGCAGTGCAAGAGAGAGGAGAAAAAACTGAAACGGCTTCAAGAGTCGGCCTTTCAGCTGCGACTGGAGCACGGCCGATCATCGCCACTCCCTGCTTTTAATATTGCACAACATGGTGAGAGGCGTCCGGCAAGACTTCAAGATAGTTTGTAGTCAAATCCCTTTATTTATAACCACCTGTGCCGGGGGTTAATTCTGTTTCTGTTTTTCAGATCTGGGCACATCTGATGACAGCTCTCTGTCTGATTCTGTAGTGCAAGATGAAGGTAAGACCAGTTTTTACAAGGTTTTTTTTTTTCTAAATCTAGTGTAGACGAGAGTCAGACTAAGACCAATTTATTTTGTTTAAAGCCTGGACAATGTTTGCCACACAGCCTTTAACCATAAAATATGGAAATATGAGCAGTGAACATATCTTGAATACTTAAATGGTCATGGGTTCTCTTAATAAAATAAAGAATACATTAAGAATCTGTGGAAGAGATTAGAGATGCAGTACAACAAGGCGACAATCAGCCAATACCAATTTGTGGTCGATAAATTGGTGCATTCCTAAAGGAGATAAATGTTTATCAACACTTAATCACTTTCTGCAGGTATCACACACTTAATAATCTCTGTTATTTTTTCCCTCTAGAAGTGACAAGTCAATCATCCCAGTTATCCTCAGGACCCCCTTGTCCAGGAGAGACAGATCCTCCTCCGCCTCCCCCTGTGTCCACACAGTCCTTCATAAACGGCTCCTACATGTCTCCAATAGAGGCTCCCCAGACCCTGCCACTGACCCCATGCCAGTCTCCCCACCCGAGCCTTGATTCTAAACTGAGTTTCAGCTCAAGCCCCGTGTGTGACCTTCCCCCCATCCAGCACTCCCCGTGGACAGAGTCAAGTCTCGACCAGCCCTACGAGAAGAGCAAGAAGTCGCGCTCCTCCAGCAAGACGAGGTAACACAGACCATCGGTCTTGACTCCTTTCTTGTTAATTGACTTTTTAGGACTGGGTAAAACAGAGTGTGGTTTACATGGATTGTAGAGAACTGTGTGAAATGCTGATCAAGTGGCTACTGGTAGTAGTGAGGGAAGTGGTCCTGGTTGGATTCTTCGGAAAGCCTGCCAGAAATAGTACATGGAAGTTAATGCTTTTTATGCCTTAACCGAAACACTGTGCACCCTTTTAAAAGTTATGTTAAACGTCATTGCTATGTAGCCAATGTCACTGAGTGGTGTACTTGTGCTGCTTTGTATTTTCTTTATGATAGAGCAGACATCATAGAGCAAGATGAACACTTTATCTTGTCACTAATGCTGGACAAAAGCTCATTGAGTACTGTCATTTCAAGTGCAAACCTTCTTGCTCCTGCCCTGTAGTATAACAAAGTACTTGTCAGTGATGGTAATGAATGTGCAACACTGCCATCTGCTTTCGCTCTGGTGCTACAACAGTCACTGTGGACAACAACTATAAATCCTACTGATTTTAATGACACCTTGACGCAGAGATAGAATTCAGTTTTTATTGTCCAGTAGTTAATTGCTGTAATAAAAAACTCCAGCCTGTGATTATGTGTATTTTTCCTGTGTAATGGATTAATATTAACCTGCAGTCATTAATGATCTCAGCCACAGGATGTCAGAGGAAATACAGTTATTTTTGTGAAAACATTGAAACCCTTTATACTCAACTGCAGTCGTTGACTTAGCTTTTCATTTTTTTTATATTTGAGATTTCTACTGTTGATGCCTGTCTTCGTGAACAAAACCTGGGTTTTTTTCCTGTATTTTAAATGTTTTGATATATAAAAACACCAGCGAAGAAACAAAATGTAACATATTTCTTGTGCTGCTGTTTTGTGTGTTCAGCAGTCCAGCCAAAAGTGAAGTGTTGCCACCATTTGAGGCTTGCTTTGCTTCCCATCTGAAGCTGAGCCGCTCCCAATCGAACAGCACGCCTTCCACACCAGAGATGCGTGTGCACAGACAACTCTCCCTCAGGTAGCTGCACCTCAAATATATCTCAAGTACTGTATGGCGGCAGGACACCTATGTTGAACCTGTGATCATGTTATTTAGCTTCATGCATAAAAGCTTTTTTCATTTTAAATCACATCAGGTGCTGTGAAGTGTATGTTTTGAAAAGTTGAGTTTGCTTTTCAAGTAGCCATACTAATGCAAACAATGTAATTCCTGTGTGATTTGCGCAGGATATCCAACCCTGAGATGTCAAAAGACCGTGGTCGCCCCAGAGGTGCAAGGAGGCGGCTGACAGAATACGCAATAACTTTACCAGAGACTCCTCCCCCTGCGTTGAACTATGGAAACCATGTTAACTCTGAGGACAGCAACTCTGAACACTCATCTGCATCTTACAACAGCTCACCTTCTCAGGAGCTGCCATGCGATTTGCCCAAACAGTATCAGTCTGCATTCCAGCACTCTAGCCCAGTTGGCAGCTATGGACCTCAAGCCCTCCCACACACTGGCTTTTACCATAATCCCAGGCACCAGTCCAGCCCCAATTTCCACAAAGCCTATCACAATAAAGAAGTGGTCTACCAACCTGAACTGGACTTGGCACAGAGCCATTACACCCAGCAGGCTCCTTATCCTCCCAACAGATATGAGTATTACTATAAAGATGCAGCTGTGCCCCACCAGAGAGCACAGAGGCCTTTACCTCCTGACACCAGACACATCTCCCCGCCGGCTCAATGGGACCATCCACACTACCGCTCCGGCGGTCTCCCGCAGCATGTAGTGAGTGAGCAGCTCAAGTCATGGCACCGGCGCAGTCAGCTCAAAGCTCCCAGGTCCCGCTCTCTCGACAGACAGGGAGCAGTCAGAGTTAAAAACATGTCGTTTCGGGAGGGGACCTGCCTCCAAAACCAGAAGTACCATGAACAGGTGAGTAAACTTAAGTATTTGATATATGCCAACAATCTGTCAGTCACATTATAACAGTGTGTCAACAATGTAGTAGTGTTAAGTAAGTAATTGACTTATTGACAGTTTTTCTCAACACGTTTGCACAATGTACCTGCTCAAAGTGACTGTTTTAATAAATGCAATAATACAGCTGTTACACATGCCAAATCTGCTGGAAAAGGAAAGAAATTTAAAATTAAGTCATATGTTTGAAGTTGGCCTGTTTGACTGAAACCTGCTATTTTTATGTTATTAGGGGCTTATTGATTTACCTGATGAATGGGTGTTTTCTGTTAGTTTGTTCTTTTTTATTTAGGAGTTTTTTATATCTAGACACTGGTAGAAAATATCTCCATACTCCATACTACATCTATAAAGTGTTTCACTTTCTCTCACTTTATTAAAAAAGGGAGTCACTGCATAGATGTAAGTGTATGGAGATCTTTTCTACCAGTTTGGGCTCATCAATGTTTCCAGCAAGTTGCAGTACAAAGCTGGTTGGAGAAGTGGTTTTCATACGTAATATAAACACTAAAACAGGGACATATTTAAACAAAAGTAACACTGAAGCAACTCTACACCTCTGCTCTGATGCACTAATGGACTCAACCTAATGTCAACCCTCATTTATCTTATCTCAAGACATTGTAGAATAGGTTGAGGAAGAGATTTTTGCCATGTGGACATTTGTTGGTAAAACAAAGTTTTTCCAGTGTATATCAGACAGGCGCTGGTGTTTTTAACTAGTCTTTAGGAGGTGTGAAAGGACATTTAATATTTCAAGTTTATATTCAGGATACATTCAGTGGGTTTTTCTGCACAGTGTGATTTTAAAATGCTTAAGGCATTAACTATTGCAGCTGTTGATGATTTTTTTTATTACCACCGTTCAGAAAACATATCTAGTTTCCTTTTTATTGCTTCAGTTTATTTAGACACATGGGACACTTTTAAATGCAGGGTCATCTCTAGGAAGTCATCAGGAAAGATCAATTGACTGCAGCAGAAATGTTTTTGTTGTTTTTATTGGTTGTGGGTTTTTTTTTTTTACAATAATAGCAAACTGCTGAATATCCTAGTTAAAGCAGAAGGTTGTGTTGGTCATTGTTGTTCACTTACATTAAGTGTAAGTCAGGTAGAATTTAGACCTGAAGTTGTGAACAGTCAGTTGTCACAGCAGAATATGACTGATAAGCTCAGGATGCTACAGAAGACAGTGTCTAAACACCCAAACTTCAGTCTTTAACGTAATTTGCATTGTACTGAATTAAATGTATTTCACTATTTACATTTTCATTATCTCAGTCATGGTTCTAATATTGTTTCTTTCTTCTTTTGCCCACTTTAAGGTTATCCAAAGAAGGGCTCTTCAAAGAGCTGCAGATGACACCCAAGGGCACTGGGTTGTAGATGATGGCACTCACTATGTAAGTCAAGTTTAAACCGAGGCCGTGAACTTCGACACTGCAACTGTATTCATTCCCAGTTAACCAAAGTGAAGAGGTCAGGAAATCAAGTCAAATGAACTGTTTATGTCCATTTTAAAAATACATGTTTTTTCATGGTTTCTGTTGATCCATCTGCCTGTATTTGGACATATAGAGGGACAATGAAAAGCTGGAACATCTTACATGATAATGCGATCAAGTGCAACACTACAAAACTACAGCCAAAGTTTCTGTCAAGTTATATCCAACACTTCTTTGGCACAGTCACAGTAAAGGTGGTTTCAGACCAGTTGTATTAGATTTGAAGCACAACTGTAAAGGGTACCTGTTGTTTTTTGTCCACTCTCTGTATGTTGTTCGGTACTAACAGTTACACATTAAGCATTTAATTGAAGGCTTGTCACTGTTTTAATCTGTTAACGTTGTTTGCAAAAAAGGTGTCCAAGGCACTGTAAATCTGCTGCCAGCTCAGATCTGGTTGTTAAGATTCTCAAAAAAAAATCCTCATCAGCACAGAGTTTCTGTGTCATTGGAATTATTTTGATATATGAAGCAATTAAAAATGAAATGATAATTGACGGCAAAGTGGTGGGAGATTGCAGGGTTTGCAATTGCAATCTCAGATGAATTATGATTTATTGCAAAACAGTCAGATGTAAAGCCATCAAGTAACCTGCTTAAGGTACTTAATCACACAACATAAAATACTGCATTAGCTGTGTCTATCTGTAGCCAAAACCACTGCCAATAATGCAGCTTTGTGAGGATGTGTTCAAAACAGAAATGTTTACTTTTTGCAGTTTGGTTGATGGATAATAAATGTGCTCCTTTTCACTTAGCTGTATGAAGGAAAGGAATTAATTGTAAAATAATGTAAATGAGTAACACCTACTTTTTAACTCCACTTTGTGTATAATGTTACCTTGATGTGTGTGTCACCATGTTAATGAACTCAAGCTGCTTAAATTTAAGATGTTTCCTCTCATTTATTTTTGGAGGCAAATTTGTCTTGTTTTAATACGTACATGTGTCGGTGGCTCTGCCAGTTAACTTGAATTACTAATGGACTTACTCAGCTAGTTGAAACTAGATATTAACTTCCTCACGAGTTATACAGTAGCAAATTTAACAAAAGCAGAGTCGTGATGCTTGGCAGCTATTAAAGTGTTAAGTTGAAATTAAAAATATACTGAGCTTTAAAAGAAACACACACTAACACTTGTGTTAGGACCAATACAATTTCTGCTATGAGGTGAACTGTATTTGAAACACTGCCAATATGTGATTCACAATCTCCCAATCAAGCTTTTGATGGTCGAACGTGTGAGAAAGAGAACAAATTATTGCAAATCCACTACACACTGACTGGTCTCTCACAGTGATCTATTTATGTGTTTATTTATTGTGATGTGCACCATTGAACCCATGGAAAGTCAGACATGGACCTGAGTTTGCAAAACCCAGCAGCAGTAAAGACTGCATCTAGCTGTACATAAAAAACAGACCACAATCATGTTACCTTGTGTGCCTCTTTTTTACTGTCTTTTTTATTTATCAGTCAAAGTAGTTTAAGTGGACCTAATAATGATGTGTGATGTTGCTGTTGATAAATCTGTGAAAGTGTTTTCCCTGTGGAAGAAAATAAAGAGTTATGTTTGCATAGTGTTGAGTTTCACTGACTTCCTTGTGTATGTTGTTTTCAAAGCAGACATTTTGACAAGGACCTAACTGTAATTAGGCAGTTAGGTATGTAATGAGTTGTTAGGGGGAAACTTTGTAATTGCCAACTGTTTGCCAGCTTGAGGAAATGTTTGATATATAAGAACTAGGGTTGCAACGATATGAGATCTTCACGGTACAATAACCCTCTCAAGAAGTATCATGGCTTCACTATATGAAGTTTTACACACTTTTTTTACACAGTATTACACATTTGTTATCATTATTATCAGTTACAATGACACTTAAAGGAATTAAGGGAGGTTTTTTGGGGGATTGAACTAACACTTCATTAGTATAACAGAATTTTGAAAACATTTTTTAATGCAAGTATGTGTAAATATGTATATTTTTGAAAATAACTAAAATATAAGTGATATTCTTTTCCAATACCATAGAAATGCAAATGTACACATATAATAACCATCAATTTTCACACCCCAGTATACTGCTGCAACCCTAATTAGGACTATAAACTATTATGTAAACTTCAGACTTACTGAAATGGTATATTTATATGTTCAGTAATTTATGGTTAGCTCTTTTATGTAAAAAAAAATGTTCCTTTGAGTGTAAAGTTAAAAACATTGACATAAAGTGTGTATTTTAAGTCATTTTTACTCTCTGAGACACACAACATCAGAGCAAATTCGTTTCTGTGATTCCACCCTATGTTTTGTATGTGAGAGGTTCAGAGTATATGGACCTTACTTAATATAATCGTCACCATATATGTTCTGACAGTGTCTGGGGTGTATCTAGAGGCTGCAAGAACAGAGGCTTTTATCCAAGCCTGTATGTTTTTCTCATTTCCTCATTTGTTGATCCCCACTTTCACTGTGAATTATATCCAAGTGTTAGCCCATCTCACTGTTAGTAACTGTATCAAAAAGTTAAAACCTACAGTGCTTCTGGCCTCAATGCATTTCAAATAGGTTTGAAGTACAGGGTATTGTCATACTTGGCTTCCAGTCTCTGAAATGTTTTAAATAGATTTCATTTTGACGTGGTCTCAGATACCTTCTCAATAGAAAAAAATGTTTAATTTTTTTAATACAATTATAATATACATTTTTAATACAAGATACTTTAAAGCATAAATAGATATTGATAGAATTTTCCCCGAAACTCACTGTAGTAAATGTATTTGATATCCTCGAAATATACGTTTTGGAAAACAAACAAACATTTTTTTATATTTCTGCATTAATTTATTTTTAATCCCATTTGAAAGACATGTAAATGTAAACAATGGGAGGCTTTTGCTTAACAAAATATGTAAATATATTTGTTTTTCTACGTTTGAATGGGTGCTTTTATTTTGAAAAAAGGATAGCTTTACGGAAGAGCGCTCCACTTCCGGAAAGAATTGTGTTTCGCATTTTGATAAATAATTCACCTTCCTGGTTTGAAGGCTACCTTGTCAGGTAACTTATGTCCATTTAATTAAATTGCCATAGCAGGTGTCGGTACAATATGCTTACTAGATAGCGTTAAACGTTGGTGTCGTCGTAAAGACTTTTATCTCACCGCTAGCAAGTTTATCCACAAACCAGTGTCGCCTGCTCGACTGGTTAACGTTAGCGACAGCTCAGCGCTAGCTTAAAGGTAACATTAGCAAGCTGATATATGAGCGCTCCGTGACCTGCTAACTTATAAACGGTACAGTGCTTTTAACTTACACTGTAATTCACCTGCTTGCTATGAAGTGTCCCCATCCGTGGAAACACGATGGATTTATGTTAAGCCATCGGTATCTTGTGGTTGTTTACATTTTGTACTCCATGTTCCGTCTGACGCTGTGCTAATCAACATCCGTCTGGCTGGCTGTGCTAAGCAGTTACTCGGTAAAATATTTTGTTGGTGCTGTCAGCCTCAGCCTTTTATCAAATATATGTATCCTTGCTGATAATCTCAAGTATTGTCACTACTGTAATTGTCAACCGGTAATTTTGGATGGTGACATAGATCAAAGTAAGTTGAGCCGCCTCTTTGTTCTCTTGTTGTGATCGATGAAACACAGATTTCAAATGAGACCCAGATTAATCACCAGCCATTTTACATCAGCAGCTAGATGACAGTGTAGCACTTTAAATGTTAGTTATTGATCTTTAGTAACCCTGCAATACTCAATCACCGCACTGTATCCTATATTGCAGTGTACACATTGCATAATATCCTTTCTTTGTTGTTTATGTGAGGCGATGCAGACTGTATGTGCTGTACATTTACTGTATCCTTCAATATATGCACATAAAACCATCTGTGTGTATTGACTAGCGTATCATTAGTGGGGCTTAAATATGTAATATCAGGACCAACCTGTTTATTCTGGCTGATACCAATAAATACTGATAAGATTATTTTTTGATTGCTGTGTTAGAGCACATTCATTAGTGATAAATTAAAGAATATATTGAACGATTGTAAACATGTATGTGATAGTATAACTCAGAAACCCTGAGTTTTTATTGTATTTTATTACAAATATATTTTTTAATATTTAGGCTAATTAATGCCAGACATTCTGGCCCTATGGACAAGCATTTAGAGGCTTTAGAAAAATCATTAGAAGAACTGACCTCAAAAATACTTTGGGTTCTGATCCACTTTCAGGTGAAATCTCATGTCTGCAGTGTTTGTAAACAGGCTTCACATTATTGGATGAAATAATTGCTGAAATTTTATTTTTGGAATGATTACATTCTTTCAATTAGTGGGCAATAACACATCAGCCACATACATATCATGCATATCTACCTATTATCTATACAAGTCCGATTCCAGCTTTTTTGTACTGACATGTAATTTTGCACACAACCTTGTATATACACAAACATAGTAACAGTCTCACCTGCATATACCGTTTTCCCACTTTTTGCCTGTTTATGATAGCGATTGTGTTCATTTTTACTCATCTTTCTGTGGTTTATTGTCTTTGCGTAGCTCTATGCCTATTATTGTATCTTCCTGTAAATTTGCTCCCTGCAGTGCAGAGTATATTAAGAGCTCCAGAGAACTGGAGTCAAATTTCTTGTGTATGTCAACATACTTAGCCAGTAGAGCTGATTGTGGTTCTGGTTGCTCAGGAGGAAACTGAAGTGTACCTTCTGAAGCAGAACACAGAGGCTGTGAGTGGGTCATCAGGCAGTCTCCCTATGTCAGGCCGAAACGGGTCTGCAAGTGATGCAGACTGCCGGATCTCTGAGGACTGCCGTGTCCCAGATGTTGAGCTGATGGAGCTGGGGCCACTGCTGGAGGAGGGAGGGGGGCGAGCGGCAGCATCTAAAGGCGTCCATTCAGAGGTAGGACTGTTTTACAGGAATACACAGAGAAGTTTTTAGGGCTCAGATGCTTCAGTATGCCCTTGTGATCTCTTTAAAGGGAGCTGCGATGCTTGCTGACGAGGAAGAGGATGATGATGAGGTGGGAGAGGTCCTGACCTTACCACTTCAGGCTCATCATGCCATGGAGAAGATGGAGGAGTTTGTACACAAGGTAAAAATGTCTTCTTGAATTAATTAATGCACAACTGGTATAGGTACTAAATCCAGATATTATTTGGCTAAACTGCCAGGGACCTAAATAAACATGTCTTTGGGGTTGGTATGAACAGGTCAGCACGTGTTATCCAATCTGCTTTAGTGTGAGAGAATGAAGACAGTTTTCAACAATGACAAGTATTGATATAGGTACTGTCATTATGAATATATCAGTTACTTCTGATTCTTTCAATAACAGATTCAGCTCAATCTGACAAAAGTTATTGTGACTGGTAAATGTTGGTTGATAAAGAAATGTGACGCAATAAGGAGAATGAATGATCTGATAACATTACACAAGTAGGCACCTGCAATAAATATTGCATCAGACATGTAAAATGAGCTGAAATTCAACACCGTGTTCACCTCAAAGTTTATACATGGTGTAGTAGAATACTGTAGGTTAGCAGGCAGGGTAATAGACATACTGTTGCAGATCTGGGTGGACAGCAACAAACAGGGATTAACCTGTGACTGCAGTGCAATTCAACTGAGCCATATGTGTTGTTTTTATTGTTGTCTTGTTTTTTGATTATTTCATGTCAGACATGTCGTGTGTTGTATAAGACTCACACAAGTCACCATGTGAGACAAGTGTCAGCTCACAACAAAGAATGTATTTGTCAGTTAAATAGCATCACAACACATTTAGATATTGAGAAGAACCTTGATCAAAAAGATCTCGCCAACTAACTGTATGTTGGAGATGGAGATGATGCTGCCTTCACTTGTAAAAGAAACATGATTTTGTCTGCCATACCTGGCTATGTAGAGTGATCAAAGTCAGTTACAATAAATCTGACATTTCTCAATTCATGTACACTGCCTGGCCAAAAAAAAAGTCGCCACCTGGATTTAACTAAGCAAATAGGTACGAGCCTCCTATTGGATAATTACTGCATGGGCGATTATCTTTCAGCTGGCAACAAGTTATTTAACCCCAACTGGTGCAATGAGTTGCTTCTCATTTCCTAAACAACCATGTCGAAAGACACATCCCGTGGTCGTGGAAAAGATGTTAGTCTGTTTGAGAAGGGTCAAATCATTGGCATGCATCAAGCAGAGAAAACATCTAAGGAGATTGCAGAAACTACTAAAATTGGGTTAAGAACTGTCCAACGCATTATTAAAAACTGGAAGGATAGTGGGGACCCATCGTCTTCGAGGAAGAAATGTGGCCGGAAAAAAATCCTCAATGATCGTGATCGGCGATCACTTAAACGTTTGGTGAGATCAAATCGAAGAAAAACAACAGTAGAACTCAGGGCTATGTTTAATAGTGAAAGTAAGAGCATTTCCACACGCACAATGCGAAGGGAACTCAAGGGATTGGGACTGAACAGCTGTGTAGCCTTAAGAAAACCACTAATCAGTGAGGCTAACCGGAAAAAAAGGCTTCAATTTGCTAGGGAGCATAAAGATTGGACTCTGGAGCAATGGAAGAAGGTCATGTGGTCTGATGAGTCCAGATTTACCCTGTTCCAGAGTGATGGGCGCATCAGGGTAAGAAGAGAGGCAGATGAAGTGATGCACCCATCATGCCTAGTGCCTACTGTACAAGCCTGTGGGGGCAGTGTTATGATCTGGGGTTGCTGCAGTTGGTCAGGTCTAGGTTCAGCAACAGTATGTGCTCAAAGAATGAGGTCAGCTGACTACCTGAATATACTGAATGACCAGGTTATTCCATCAATGGATTTTTTCTTCCCTGATGGCACGGGCATATTCCAAGATGACAATGCCAGGATTCATCGGGCTCAAATTGTGAAAGACTGGTTCAGGGAGCATGAGACATCATTTTCACACATGGATTGGCCACCACAGAGTCCAGACCTTAACCCCATTGAGAATCTTTGGGATGTGCTGGAGAAGGCTTTGCGCAGCGGTCAGACTCTACCATCATCAGTGCAAGATCTTGGTGAAAAATTAATGCAACACTGGATGGAAATAAATCTTGTGACATTGCAGGAGCTTATCGAAACAATGCCACAGTGAATGCGTGCCGTAATCAAAGCTAAAGGCGGTCCAACGAAATATTAGAGTGTATGACCTTTTTTTTTGGTGGTGACTTTTTTTTTGGCCAGGCAGTGTACCTATACATACAATTTTAGGGTGTTGATTTTACTGCTACTGAAGGACTTTGAGAATACAAAGTTATTTTAGAACGTTTACAACTACTCATAACACCAAATACACTGTCTATTTTACTTAAATCTCAATTAAGATTATTAACACTTAAACTCTAGATATTTAAAATAATTGTCTGTTGCAAAAAGTTCATCTCTGCATCATCCTTGTTGGCTTTCAGTGTAAGAGCCATATAGTAATTGTACAACCCCAATTCCAAAAACGTTGGAACGCACAGAATGCAATGATTTGCTAATCATTTTTGACATACATCTACAAATGCAAGTTTAGACTCTACCATGCAAAGGGAAAGTCATATTTCAACAACCTCCAGAAACACCACTGACTTCTCTGGGCCAGAGCTCAGGCTGAACTGATGCAAAGTGGAAAAGTGTGCTGTGGTCTGTTTTTGGAAATCATGGACGTCATGTCCTCCGGGCTAGAGAGGAAAAGGACCACCCAGGTTGTTACCAGCACAAAGTTCAAAAGCCAGTATCTGTGATGGTATCCTGATGTGTTTCAGCATCATGAATACTGAAGGGTATATACAGGTTTTGGAGCAATATGCTGCCATCCAAATGCCGTCTTTTTTACAGACCACCCTGCTTATTCCGGCAAGACAATAAGACACATTGTGCACGTGTTACAACAGCGTGGCTTCGTAGTAAAAGAGGGCTGATTCCAGACTGGCCTGCCTGCAGCACAGACCTGCCTCTCTTTTAGAAAATGTGTGGCACATTATGAAGCACAAAATAAGACCCCAGGCTGCTGAGCAACTGAAGTCATATATCAAGCAATATGGGAAAGAATTTCTCTTTCAAAACTTCAACAAATAGTGTCTTCCATTCCCAAACACTTACTGAGTGTTGATAAAAGAAAAGGAGATGTAACACAGTGATAAACATGCTCCTGTTCATACTTTTTTGGAACGTGTTTGAACATTAGATATCTTGTCTTTGGACTGTAGTCAATTTAATACAGGTCAAAAAGGATTTGCAAATTATTGCAAACTGTTTTTACATTTTACACAGCATCCCAACTTTATTCAATCAATCAGTCAATTTTATTTATAAAGCCCAATATCACAAATCACAATTTGCCTCACAGGGCTTCACAGCATATGACATCCCTCTGTCCTTTGGACCCTCACAGCGGATAAGGAAAAACTCCCCCAAAAAAACCCTTTAACGGGGAAAAAAATGGTAGAAACCTCAGGAAGAGCAACTGAGGAGGGATCCCTCTTGCAGGACGGACAGACGTGCAATAGATGTCGTACAGAACAGATTAACATGATAAATTAACTAATCCGTATGACACAATGAGACAGAAAGAGAGAGAGATGCAGGACAGATGGTAATGTTAATACCTTACAACAACATTAATGAAAGTAATAATATTATAATTATAGTTCTGGCTACTGTGGTACAATATGTTGAAAGTATATATTAATATCTGATATTATACATATGTGACAATTAGAGTTGGGCGATCTTGTCAATATCCTATCGTCCTATCGCCATCTAGTGAAATCGCCGATGAACGATGTCATCGCCGGGGGGGGGGGGGGGCATTACTCGTCGCCGCTGAAACGTTCACTTATAGCCTCTCTTTGGCATTTGAGCAGCTTTATAAAACTCTTGAACATGTAATGGCTCCTTAATTAGCAAGTTGACTTTACATAGACGGCATATCTTTTCAATTTCTCCTGACATTGTGTTGTTTGGTTTGTTCACCGCTCCGCGACATGCGCATTAAGGCCCGAACATACTCAGGCGGAACATACGCGGAACGGATTCCGCGGAGGTCCGTGTGGACTCAAAGCGGACGTCCGCAAGCCCTGTGCGCGCAAAGCTCAGATTTTACGACCGCGCGGACTCCACTCCGCGCACCAGTGACTGCTCGGCATGTATTTTTCACATCGCGGAGATTTTTCACTGACATTTTTACAGGAAACTACAACGCGGATGTGCGCTCGACTATGAAAGCCTGAATGACTGCAGACATTCCTCGCGGAGTCCGCTCCGCTTATAGTACGCCCGAGTATCCTTGTGTCGAGCGGGTGGAGGCGTTGATCTCCCCCCCTCCTCCCCCCACCCTCTGCTCTCTCACTAAGCAGCCTCCCTCTGTCTCCTCTCACTCAGCCTCGTTCAGCCTCGATCTCGTCAGCATGCTCCACACACGCTCTGTCTCCCCCCCACACCTCGCAATTGCATCGTCATTTAAAAAAGACATCGTGAAACAACCCTTCTGTTGCCGATGGGCGATCGCCCATCAGCACAACCTTAGTGACAATAATCATATGTGTATAATAACAGTAGAAGTATGACTAATGATGGCAGCAGCAGCAGGAGGCATCTGGCAGGACCACGGCAGCAGCACAACCACACACATCACACTATCCAGGCACCGCTGCAATAAGAGTTAACCTGAGAGACGGTGGAGCACAAAGGCTCCGGAGAAGAAGCCGAGTTAGTGACATCCAGAATGGCCGAGTTAGCAAGATGCAGTAATAGGACACGAGAGAGAGAGAAAAGGAGAGAAGGTGCCCGGTGTATTATAGGGGGTCCTCCGGCAGACGAGGCCTAAGTCAGCCTAAAGGCCAAAACACACCGGCGGCGTACAATGCGCGTCAAAACAGCCGCCCCCATTATTTTCTATTTACAAACCCAAATCAACGTCAATGTGCCGCGCCGAGGCACTTTACGCTATTTTTCCAGCTTCGCTGCCCTTGAAAAAGCGCTATTTTGTACTTCCCAGCCTAGCGGACTGGAGTGTGCAATAGAAATCCAGTTGACACCCCGCAGCGCGGCGCTTTTTGTGTGTGTTGGAGGCGGCACTTGACTCGCGTCAATGACGTGTTTTGGCCTTAACTAGGGGCTGGTACAAGGCAAGCCTGAGCCAGCCCTAGCTATAAGCTTTATCAAAGAGGAATTGGGGATTGTAAAAGTATGCGTCGGTGAGTGAAAGTTATTCTTTCTTTTCAGGTGTGGGAGGGGCGCTGGAGGGTCATCCCTTTCCACGTCCTGCCAGAGTGGCTAAAGGACAACGATTACCTCCTGCATGGACATCGGCCTCCTATGCCCTCCTTCCGGGCCTGTTTTGGAAGCATCTTCAGAATTCACACTGAGACAGGAAACATCTGGACTCACCTGTTAGGTCAGAATACAACGCCTTATGCAACATTCCTAAAATTGTTGAAAATAATATGTTAGCAGCAGATTCAAAGTTTGTTTACAACCTGACATGTTATTTTGTTAACCCATTTTTAACCGGTTAACTCAGAATAGCTCTGGCCTCCTCTCTTGTCGGCTGAAAGTAAAACTGGCCTCATTTCTCCCCCAGGGCTGATCTTATTCCTGTGTCTGGGCACGTTAACCATGCTGCGGCCCAACATGTATTTTATGGCCCCTCTGCAAGAGAAAGTGGTGTTCGGGATGTTCTTCCTGGGAGCTGTGCTCTGCCTCAGTTTCTCCTGGCTTTTTCATACCGTCTACTGCCACTCTGAGAAAGTGTCTCGCACCTTCTCCAAGTAAGGCCTCTGTCAGACATTGCTTCTCACATAATTGTCTTGTGTGTCTTAACAAAATCATTTGTAGCTGTCAAAGTGTTCTCCTATTTTAGACTCACTGCCCTTGTAGTAGGCAGGAGGGAGACACCCACCATCATTATTCAAGGCAGAATGGTCCCAAGTTCAGTCAAATCTAACATAAAAAACACTGATCTGTGTGGCATGGTGAAGCAGTTTGTACTGATCTGAGGATAAAGTTGCTAGATAAGTGCATTTACTCCTGTAGACTACAGCAGCCTTAAGTTAATTTAGGTTGAATTATTATTCTCTATGCTATAATGTCCATGTGCAGTCTAAACGAGCAGTGATTATTCAATTGGAATAGACTTAGAAATATACCATCCAGCAGATCTTCCAGCCAAACACCCAGCTGTTGTCTCTGTGTCGCCCCCTCTCTTCAGGCTTGACTACTCGGGCATTGCCCTCCTGATCATGGGCTCCTTCGTGCCCTGGCTGTACTACTCGTTCTATTGTTCCCCTCAGCCTCGACTTATCTACCTCACCATTGTATGTGTCCTCGGCATCGCCGCCATCATAGTGGCCCAGTGGGACCGGTTTTCTACACCTCGTCACAGACCTACAAGAGCAGGTGCTCACCAGTTGAACACATTGCGCACTTTTCCCTATAATGTCGTCAAAATAACGCAAAGTAACTGAAGTCCATGCCTCTCTTAGGTGTGTTCATGGGTCTTGGGTTAAGCGGCATTGTCCCCACCATGCACTTCACCATCGAGGAGGGCTTTGTTAAGGCTACCACAGTGGGCCAGATGGGTTGGTTCTACCTGATGGGTGCCATGTATATCACTGGTGCTGGTCTGTACGCAGCCAGGATCCCTGAGCGCTATTTTCCTGGAAAGTGTGACATCTGGGTGAGTATTTGATGTGCTTAGAAGTCAGGTGATTAGTTGTGCAAAACAGTTTAGTTTCACCACCAATAAAAATAAGAACATTGATTCATAATTACATTTTACCATATTTACCATAATGGAGGAGATGCCATGTTTAGACATGTTAACGTAATGAACATAATGCAGTGCTTCTCCTTTGCTACTTGGATGACAAATGTGAATGTTTCTGATATGAGGCAGTAATGGTTAAGTATTGCTTTTAATTTTTCCACTCAAGTATAGGGATAGGTGATATGGCCAAAATCTTTTATCACGATATATATATTAAAAACTGAAAACGTTTTTACAAAACTGTTTCTTCATTTAATGAAAAAGCCAGAGTTCTCAAATGTTACACGCTGTTTAACTCTATGATATACAGTCTGAAATCTGTAAAATTTGGACTTTAATCAGAAATAAGTCAACCTGATTTTGAGTGTGACCAGAAATTCAATGCCAGCTTGTGGCACATTATATTTTTTTTGGCGCCCAAAAGACATCATCATTCACAGCAGACCAAAATCTTCCAGGAGTACACGACTGAGTGTGTATTTTCTTCACCATATGAAATAAAGAATTAGTGAACAATAGGAGCAGTTTCAGACACAGCTGTTATCTCTTTTGTTTCATCAAACACAGGAAAATTATAATGAATGAAACTGACAAAAAAAACATCTCTTTCTCTCCTTCTAGTTCCACTCTCATCAGATTTTCCATGTTCTGGTCGTGGCGGCGGCGTTCATCCATTTCTACGGGGTTTCCAACCTGCAGGAGTTCCGCTACGGCCTGGAGGGAGGATGCACAGATGACTCTCTACTCTGAGAGGCCTGACTGTGACTCATACTTTTCTTTACAGTCCCACAAACACCTCGCACACACACACACACACACACACACACACACACACACACACACACATACATACATACACATACACACACAACACACGCACACACAATCACTTTAAATGCTGCTGGAATTCAATATAGTCACTTATTGCTCCTTCTGTACTTCTGATTTGCTAACATCTTGTTTGGGTTTTGGTGGTCTTTCTGTTTGGCTCTTTTTTGCTCCGATAAAGTAGCATTAACTAGCCACTGAACTACAGAGGGAATCTTCAACAGGCACTACTTCTTCAATAATTCTGAAACTTGAAGCCTACATTTTCAAGTAAGGTCAAAATGGGATTTTAACCAAAATCGTATATTACTGTAACTGATGGTCACTTCCTAGAAGCTCACTAGTACCCCGACCTCTTCATAGTCTGTTACCATTGCACAAAGGGTACAGAGCGTATTATTTGTGCTGTAGCAGAGGGCACATACTGTAAACCATTCCTATCCTCCCTCCCACTTTCCATGCGGGTTAGAGGATGAATGTACTGTCCACCAGGAGTGAGGTGTAGAGCAGTCCAGGACCATTTAGGTGCTTAAGGGCAGGCACACATTTGTATTAAGAGGATAAAGTATGCATCTATAGTGTGTATAGATGCTGCCAGATGCTTTCTAACTGTGCTGACACTGATTGAGCAGCTGTATGTCAAAACTTAGAGGACTACTACAGACCCACCCATGCCCGCTCTGCAATAAAACATGAACTGTACTCTTTAGGCCCAGTCAGTACCCTTAAATCATAATTAAACAAAATACAATACAATATTATGAAAGAAATATAGAGCTTAGATACTATAAATTCGATCTATAGATGTGTCTGAGTAACACAAGGTGTAATTGTCATCACAGTTCTTCCCAGAATGATTGGAAATCAAAGGGATTTATACATAAAGGGATAGTTATGGTCTTTTGAAATGGGGCTGTATAAGATACTTATCTTAAGTCGGTGTAGTACTTACAGTAGATGGCGGTCAGCATGGCCCCAGTTTGGAGAAACAGTTCATGGCTTCAGTTCCCCGCCTGTGCTCTCGTCAACGTCACCAGACTCCACGACAAAAACATTGTTGAACACAGGAGCTGCTGGTCTACTGCTACCACAGTCAGTTTGTATGTTTGTGTTATTGTGTGACTCTGGTGAATCTGAACTCACCCAGTAAGCATTTTTTGGTTTAAAAAACGTCTACATGAAGACCTGATGTCTAGGCTAAATCACGGCTGAATTTGGGCTGTCAGTGAAAATTTGGTAGACGTCTAACCATAGCCAAAGTGTAGACGTCATCAATTATACGGCTATGTAGAGACCATGTCCAAAAAATGGAGATAAACATATTTCAATTACTGTTGACTCTCCATACGTGATTGAATATCATACCGCACGCCATCTGCAATGGCAAAAATTACATTTAATCAATTTCAAAATTAAATCGGCTAGATTTGGGTTACATGTAGCTAGACTAAATCGGAGCTAAATATAGCCAGTACGTTTAAATCACGACTATTGCTTGCTGGGCACAGTTTAAAACACCAAAGTCACACAAAAACAAAAACTAACTGATCGAGGCAGCGGACATCTACTGTATGTAATACACTGACAATGGATCAGTGCCTCATACAACCCTGCTTCAAAAGATTCAAACTATCCCTTTAAACTGATTCCTGAGTTTCTTTGAACTTTATACTGAAATTTGTATGAACTTCCTTTGCAATTTGATGCAGTTTTAATTGACAAAAGCCCCAAAGGCCTAGAAAAGCTGCAACTGTGCAAACATGTATCTGCCCAGATGAGGTTAGACTAAAATGCTTAAAATATAGAAGTGAAAAGAACTCCCCCGCCATCATGTTTCAGACAGACAACACATTGTTGATTAATTTCTAGAGCAACAGTTCCTGGGCTACGCACAATGTACAGATCTGGATTGGTCAAATTGTGTTTTTGTCAGCTAGAGATATTTCTTTTGTGCTAGATTTCAGATGCAATGAGAGGTGTAAATATCAAATGCACCTTAAGTGTATACTATTAAATTCAAAACTTTAAATCACCGTATGGGGTTTAAAATGTGTTATGTATGATTGATATAAACTTTTAGTATTCCTGTGCCTTAGGCCAATGGAAATGTTTTTAAATAAAACGGCCTATCTTAACAGTCAAGGGAGCTTCAAGGATTTCCAGATGTTGACTTTTCTTGTTTTCCTTGCCATATACAATCGAATCATTATTGAACTTACGACTCCATGGATAGGTTGTATCAACTGCTGTTTAAGACTCCTTTTTCTAGATCAACTTATTCGAGCTTTATTACAAAGACTAAAACAATGTGTATTCTTGACTTTGTGTAATGTCCTGTGTAGAAAGTGATAAATCATACATTTCACTGAAATGTAAACATAAATATTTATTAATGGTAATCTCGGAAAATTATTGTAATAAATTTTTTTCCACATGTACAAACATGATGTCAGTCGTGTCTTACAATAAACAGTAGAAGCCTATGACATTTGCATATTTCACATCAGCAGTAGACGATGAAGATAAGACTATTCATGTTCTACACCTTATCATGCATCTTATCACCATACAAGATTATGTTTACTTAAAATAGTGTTCTATGAGTTACATATATCAACAGTTACTGTGTTTTAACCACATCAACCAAAGCTAAACAACAGCTCCTCATCATTTCTCTCATTTCCTGGGATTGGATGCTGGTTGGAGAACACTTAGAGCTGTTATTAAGTCAAACATACCTAGAGAGCACTTGAGAGACAGCATGCCTCCTTCAAGGCTTCACAATCATTGAACATTTTATATTTTAAAAAAATTATTTTATTCAGTCAATCAAAACATTGTCTAATAGATTAAAACCAGCAGTGATTTTATGAGTTGGTCAACAGCTCTGTTTTCACAAAATATACATCACTAGTTTAAACAGTCTCTCCTGCCAGGGCACAAGACCCTATGGTGTCAGGAACTTCAGGTTGCTTTGGTCTGTAGTTGCAGCTCTGCAGTGTTAGTAGTCCTGGCCTTAATAGGTTGTTGCCTCAGGTGATCAGCCTCCTCCATTTATCTGATACAAACTCTCCTGATGCTGCCCTGTAGGTGGAGTGTATCTGGCTGCAGCATCATTTTAGGCAAGCATGTTATGTGGGGCAACACATAGTTTGACTACATCTCCAGTCTCCTCAGGATTGAGTTAAATAGGCCTTCCCTAAATCATCCACCTGGCAGCCAGGATTTTTATGCCTCTGCACCAGCGATAGCTGTGGCTGCAGGCATTACGTTTTCAGGTTGTCCATCTGTCCCATTTTCGTGAATGCGATATCTCAAGAACACCTTAATAGAATTTCTTCAAATTTCCACAAACGTCCACTTGGATTCCACAATAAAGTGATCAGATTTTGGTGGTCAAAGGTCACTGTGACCTTGCATCCATCTCATTTTTGTGAACACAATATCCCAATAACACTTGGAGGGAATCACTTCAAATTTGACATAGACTCTCACTTAGATTTAACAATGAACTGAGAATTGGGTAGTCAAAGGTCAAGGTTACTGTGACCTTGCGTTTGTCTCATTCTCATGAGCACAATATCCCAAGAAGGCCTTGGAGGAGTTTCCCCATATTTGGCACAAATGTCAATGTGAATGAACTGATGAGAACTTGGTGGTCGAAGGTCAAAAGTTAAGGTCACTGTGACCTCGCAAAACAGCCTTACTGTCACATCATAATGTAATGAAGAAAAAAAATTCTGGCCACTATTTAAAGTCATATCTAATGAACAGAAGGGGAGACTTTGGGTTAAATGCTGTATTGGTGACACTAATCTTGGGTGTCCACCTTGAAACGGTGCTGATTGTATAGCTCCTCTGTGTTGCTGGGGGGCAGATGTGTGTGAAGCATCTATGTTTTTATAGACATGATTTCAAACTGTAAGTGCAACTTGACTGGTGCACAGAGGTATACAACTGTGAGGCAGTAATTCTAGTGTCATTTTATGCTCATTTTTCCTTCTACTTCACAACATTAGAAAGGTATAGTGTGCCTTTTACTCAGTTACATTTATGTGACGATTGTAGTTAACGTTGCATTAAAATGCTGCTCAGAGAAAAATGCACCAGAAATAAGAAAAATAATATTTGCTCTTACGTACCATTTGCTGGTAATACTTACATACTTTTACTAGGTAACAATTAATTGAAGGGGTTTTACTTGTTAAGTGTTTTACATTGAGGTATAACATCTAAAAGAAGTAACAAGTAAAATATCTAAACATTTCTTGAACCATTGCCTAACCCAATATTATACTGAGAATGTAATATTGTCAAAAATCTTGTGCTTTGTGTTTTGAAAATTTCTTTAGTGATATTGTCAAAAATCCATAATAAAGCCCTAACTCTGTTGTTATTTCATATAGCTTAGTTACAGTTATTATTAAGAAGATTAAGTTTCTACATTACATTTATTTTCTAACGTCGTTACATTTTGGTCAACAATATTACCTACAGAGGCTGTTTAATGAGGAACCCAAGCACCGCCGTGTGTTTCTGTACGAGAGTATATAGTGGTTGGTCAACTTCAACAGTAGTTAGTATGCTAGCCGGGCTTTAGCTAACCTTTACGATTTTATCGTCGTATTCAACCTTGTCTTTCCTTCAGTATCTAGGTACGTCTTATTCAACTTTACTAAGCTGTGTGTCTCTAACAATGTGGATGCGTAATGTAGTTATTTGTCTGGTCTTTAGCCTGCTGAGTTTAGCGATAGCACATGTTAGCATGAATGTAGCGGGTGGGGTGTACAGTTAGTTTGACTGTTATAGTTTAACATATTAATAACATTTATTCTGGTAAGCTCTTAATATGGACCCCTCAGACCGTGGCTCGGCGTAAAGTTTGTCATAGTTAATATATTGTGGAAATTGAAGAATGTAAATATTAGGTTAGTGTATTTCTTTGTCCCGGACTTCCGCACTACAAAGATTCCGTAAACTCGTACTTCCGGTCCACTCTGTCTGTATGCGCCCCATCTTTCTTTTCGTTAACATAGCCTTGTAATTTCCCATTAGCCAGTTAGCCCTTACAGTTAATTACTGTCGCTTGGTTCAGCCTGGTGGAAGATACTGAGACTCAGGCCTGTTTGGTGCAAGTGCATTACAGTGAGTGTGCTGTTCGTCAGGGCTCGACATGGACAACAGTCAGCAGTCCAAAGACAGCACGGACCGGTCCGACCTGGTGTCTGAGGACGGAAAGAACAGCAAGTCTGTCGTGTGTCAGCGCTGCGGATCCAAGGTGCTGTGCCCGGGGATGGCTGTGATGGCAGAGAAAGAGGTATGCTGTCCTGCCCATCAGTGGGCTGATACATTGCTTAACCTGTCTGCCCTCAGGTAATATGTATATATCAATAGTTTTCAGCAGCACCATGTCATCCAAGGTGCTTTATATGACAATAAAACCAGTGGTACGGTGTGTGTACATTTACTCAAGTACTCTACTGAAGTACAAATGTTAGGCACATAACTTGAGTATTTCTATTTTACGCTACTGTACACTTGTACTCCAGGACTGTTCATAGGGAAATATAGTTAATATTGTCAATATTAATTAGTTAATAAATTAGTAATAAAGACTAATTAATCAGTAACTAATTATTTTGCAGACAAAGATGTAACATTCAAAACATATATATGTCAAATATATGATACGGTGTTATAGATTAAACTACCTAATAGTATAAGTAATAGTCAATAGCTTCATTTTGACCAACTACAACAGAAAAATCCTACTTACATGTTGTGTGCAATAATAATCTCGTGATAATATCTGACGGTATAACACTCACAAAGGCAATGTTTATGCAATGAGTATTTTTACTTTTAAGTGCATTTATTATGCTAATAATAGTCATGTTTTTTTATTTATGCAATGTTTTAAATTGATACATTTTAATTTGTAATGGAGAATTTGTATTATTTCTACTTTTACATTAGTAAAGGATCTAAAAACTCTCTAACCAGTATATGTCTACATGGGGCCCTGTAACTGGCTGGCTACATGCAACTTAGGGGTGAATGTAACAATGCCATTTAACTGAAGGATGGCTAGGTTTAACCTTGGAGATGATGTCAGTGTGTGACTGTATGTGTCAGTATTATTATTGTTGTTATTTTGTTTTGTTCCTTTGGTTGTAGTTGGTCTTTTTTCCCTCATCTCTGGTATATATATGGGAGCTTGTGTGCATATATGATGCTTATTTGTGATGGA